TGGCTTGGAACAAACGTTGGAAATACAAAAGAAATATAATCGCAACGTGGGTAACATCTCAAATCATGGCCATTATCCTTGCTGTATTTTTTTGTTGCAAATATTTTTTTGTAAGAAAGGTCTACGAGAAAATGTGCTACACGGATGTCCAGAATGAAACGCGTGATTCATACCAAGCTGGCTTATGATACCAGCCTAGCTACCGCGTCAGCCATAAACGGAGTTAGATCATGCGTGGTGTGTGGCATCGCCTACCAGTAATGCCAAATTCCACGCTTTTGTTCCATACATTTTGTTATAAAAGTCTACTTTGTATAAAAATTGATTAGTCTGGAACCCTAATCTGTAAACAAAAGAAGTCGTAGACGATTACGCAGATCGACTTTTCTTTCTGGCGCAAAAACCAATGATGCTTAGAGGAGACCGAATAGGAAAAACTGACCTATCATTCTTCGGTATAAACACATATGGATGACGGATTACGGAGATACTTATCATCGTATATGACACGACGCTTGTTGTGGTCATTATCATGCTGGTTATTTACGTGCTGTGACCTCGATAGGCGTGGTGTTCCCATATTTACATTCTTTATTTTATACTATATTATATGTGCATACATATATGTATATAACAAATGTTTAATTTATTATTTAATGTTTATTATTATTATTACTCAAAAGATGTATTGGATATCTTTTATCCTAAACCTCAAAGACGATTTTCCAACAGGCATTTCTCATAGCCAGTATCACAACTGACTACAAACGCTACGAATCATCAAATACACTATGCAAGCTTGTTTAAGATTATTGGCAATGAATGATATAATTTTTACGTAAATGTTCCTTTCCGGTTGTTCATGTAAATATCAAACAATAAATTCCAACCAAATATTCCTTTCAGATTTATATAAACTTCTTTTTTAGTTACTTTAAACCCTAGTGATTTCAATAGAGGAAGTAACTCTGGTGTAGTTCTGAAACATACACGACTTTCCACCAGTAGATTCAACCACTTTGGTTTATAGGTACTGCTATAACCAGAAATTATTTGGTTTGGATACGTGGTCACAAAATCCTCGTTGTTCAAATATTTCGTACGTCAATTATGGCGTTAACACTTTGAAAAACATGCTGATACATTGGCTGTACACGACATAGATCTACAAACAAATACATCTATAACATGTGATCACTTTTGTTGTTTTTTTACAAGCTATTCAGATAGATACGAACCACTGCTATCAAGTATTCAGTTAATCGCGTAACTTCAGTGCGCAATGAATCAGTGCGAATAAATAATAAACGGACCTTTAATTAAAGACCCTAATTTAATTTTTCGGCGGTCCATTTTTGCACTGTGAATTAGAATCTGCCGGTTGCTGACAATCTTTTGTACAACTATTTACAATAACTACCTATTCATATATCATGAGCGGCTAAAAGTCATTCGTTTTCGTTATATCTTTTGTTTACGTACAGTCAAAATGCTTTATGTGTTCTGTCTACTATCTTTGACTCCGTGAAAGCTGCGGAGAAAGTGCTCATCCCAGGTTAGTTTTTACAGTTGTTTCCTTCTGTATTTCTAAACACGCGGCGTGTTCCAACTTGATGGTTGTAGAGCATTCATCTTCTAATTTTTGCAGGATATTGTTAGATTGGTTGCACAAATCGTAGTTCAACATTTCTCAAAGCTCATTTTTCATATTTAAATAGTGGTAAGCGACTTCCTTCCTATCCGGAGCCTTTGCATACTCACGGGGCTTTGTTTTATCGGACTTTTCATGACTTAAACAAATAATAACAAATAATACTGGTTTATTTTCCTACTGTAAGCACCTCATTGATTTTTGCATATGCATTTTGATATTACATTAGCCGTACTAAAGCGTGTCATCGATTTAACGATAACGATGTTAAACGGTGTATGATGTAGAGACGACATGTGACATTGCACTACTTAGAACTCTGCTTATTACAGAGACTGGGCTCGAATCCATTAGGAACTCGTCGCTAGTTTAAAAGTCAGTCCAAATTATGTAAAAAATTATAAATAAAAAAATATTCATATTTTTTTTGTTTTTGGATTTTTTTATTTTTAGATTTACATGTTCAATACTATTTTTGTGAAAATTAAATTAAAAAAATTCAAATTCACTTTTTGTCCATTATTAATTTACAAACCAACCGTGATATAATGATTTTTGCTAAATTTACTGTACATTCTCAACAATTGACAGAATGTTAAAACTTATTGTTTTATATATATATATATATGTATATATTAAAGAATGTTAAATATTTTTAAAATCTTCGTTGATTCGAAAACCTTACTATATTAATTTTGATGTTAACAATTGTTTTCATTAAAACATTATAACTTACTTGGCATGTAAATAATATTTTATTTTACTCAATCTCTATATTAAATAACTAAATACAAAAGGTGAAAATACACTATACATTACTCTTTAGTTAACCATAAGAAGAACCATTGAATTCAGCGAAACTGGGAATTCGGAGAAGACGCTTTGAGGTAACGATGGTTAAATGCTGGCTGAAAATAGCAACCCACGTCATATCCGTCGAAAAAAATCCGATTGAGCAATCAAACCGAGACATTTTTGAGACCATGCAATTAAGTTCTCTATCAAAGAAGATGTTTTTTTCGGATGTGCTTGAGACATAGAGAACGGTTGCGCTCCATGAAAAATTAACCACAAGTGTAGATATGCCTTTTTTTTTTGACAAATAAGGTAATTTTAAATATTCGCTTTTTAACTAATATTCATATACAAAACACAGTGATACATTCTAAAAAATATCCAAATATTTACAGCTATTTCACATTTGCCTTTTTGCAACACTTGCAATATATCTTACGGGCACATTTACAGCAGGCTTTTTTTAACGTATGATTTATAGCCAAGTTCGTTACTACAAACGAAAGGTTCGTTACTATTTTTATGAAACAAAACTATATAGCGTATGTCATCATCTTGATATTCATTGGTCCTTGTTAAACGCGAGAAAAGCAATCGAACGCAGCAATACTGAAAATCAATGTGTACGATGCGAAGTGACTATGACCAATTATTAGTTAAAACAGGGAAACACCCCTTTAAAATTTGTGGAAGATACCACATTTACGAGACAACTGACCAAATTTCATTTTTGAACAGTTGTCTCGACAGCATTTCGCATTCAATTCGAAAACGCAGAGCTTTTGCAGGCTCTCTGCAATAGATTTGTTTCAGCTTTGGCGAAAATCAAATATAATCGTCCATCAAAAGACGTTTGCATATTTTAATAAAATATAAACATTTTCACATCGATTGTTTGCTTGGTTTTGTAGAACTCTAATAACTGCTTAGTACAGAACTGAATTTCAAAATTCTATGTTTTACCGTGAAAAACGGAATAAGCTTGGTGGCATGACAAGGTAACTTTAATGGAATAACATTAACAGTGTTCACTGTAATTAATGGGAGGATGGGATGATGGATCGGAGAATAGACGACCGTGACAAAGTGACGATTTGACTACAGAACAATACTTCACTATTTAATTAGATTAATAAAATAACTAGAAATGTTTTACTCTCGTTTCACTGGAGTAGCGATGTGAATGTTCTGGTATAACAAAGTATCGAAATAACTATGAAGAGTAGTGAACTCACTAGACGTAGGCAATGGGTTAATTGAAACAGGATAATAAAAGAATTGCAATGAAATAATTTTTAACATAGGACTGACTATAAATACTTCAGCTAAAAATCTAACGTCGAGATGAATGCAACAGCATGAGTAACAACAACAGGCAGCGCTCCGAACATAACTTCAGACTCCGGCGAGTCGGCGAGACAAGACGAGCCGGCTTGAATTCGCCTTTTACGATGTCTACATAGTGACTCTGGAAAAAATATGTGCGTATATATTAGGTAATTTTTTTACACAGTATTAAGAGATTTTGGCCCCACCATGTATGTTAACGAAAAAAAATTTCCGTGATGGTGCAGTAGTAACATGTCTGCATACTAATAGCAGATGTAGTGGCCAAGATTCGGAACCACGCATTTACACTATTTGTTTTATAATCGTAACCAGCCGTCTGAAGTTATGGTTACTGCCAGTATCAGTAACTAAAAAGTAAAATATTTTCTATAACAAATAGTTATAGTTGGAGAGTAAGTGAGCTAAATTGTAGTTTGCCATTGTTACATTATTATAGCTTCTACTTTATAGTCTGTTGTCATTCCTTGTCATCTTGGTTTCATTGCGACTTCATATCCCTTTTCTATCTGATCAAATACGTAATCGGTACCATGCAATTTTTTTCTTAACCTTTTATTAAATGACATAATTGCCTATATTATCTTCTTGTTTCCAAATTTCAATAAATAACCAATAAAATGAACTAATTATTCTTCTTCAAATCCATATTGAACCCTCCATATGCGTTTACATTCAACGGGATTCTAAGAGTCACTGTTTTAGAAAGTAAAGTTGCTCTATTAAATCTTTAAGTAGCAATTTAAACTATCACATGATTTGCCGGTGCTTTGGACGACCCTAAACGGTCCACCTAACCACTTTATCGATTACCTACATTTCAATTGGCTGTGTTTGAGGTAGCACAGAGTAGTAGTCTTACTGCGAAAATCGGTGTTAGCACAACCGGTTAATTATACAATCTGTACGTACTCGCACATGTTCGCATACGTGTTTTAGTACCATTTATATTTACTTATTGAAAAACTTAATTCCTTTGTACAAAAGCAAATAGAGTGTTCGCGAAGGTGAACAAATGGGTACCGCATTCACGAACATTTTCACATTCCTTCACCTCCCCTTATATTCAAGTAACGTGTGCTGCAACGCGAATCTGGTACGAGGTATTTCTTATGTATGTTTCAGCGGCAGCTAGTCTCCCCTTTGCTACATCAAATGCTCGTTTAAGCCAGTTTTGTTCATCTGCGCACAAAAGAATTCATAATATGCTGTCCAACGTAGCTCACCTCTTTCTAAACGGTTCACGTGTTCAGACCGATTCTAGTGGACTTCTACGCAATGTCCCTACAAATCAGTTGCACTTTTCGTCACATATTGCAGGCCTCAGGAATCCGTTTAGCAAAAATAGGTAATTAAGCGGGAGTGACTCGATCAGTGCCCTGTGGTGGTTACCGGATCTTATTGAAGGTAAGCTAATTTGTTGATAATGTTAGGAATCTAGGGTATTTTTGCGTTGTGACAAAATGACGCGTTGACGCAAAAACAGCTTGCTTGTTTTCCCAAAGTAAATGACGCGAGACTGTCGAAGGAAACTGTACATTCGTGTTTGAGTTTACCGTTAAATTAAGATAATCCTGATAACTGAAGCTTGCTGAATGACAGCTTACTGCATTATTATATCCAAATACAGAAAAGACGTGAAAATATGTTCTGTCTCTTTGAGATTATAGCGCTGAAAGTTATCTTCGCTTTATGAAAAGACCTAAGCGCTAATCGTACGCCTCTCCAGTCTGACAGACAAATTGTTTTTTATCAACGTGCATAAACGAGAATATTTGTCAATTTGGTATAATCGTGTTTATAAACGAAGAGACACCATTATTAAGTAACTCAATATCCTGCATGATATTCCATGGTAGTTCTTGATCAACCGTATGATTCACTGACATCTCCATTATAATTTTATTATTATCTTACGTTATATTGTTTTATACGAGGGTTATTACACGCTCTTGGAACCAGAAATATTTTATATACTTATTCGAGAAGAGAATGCTCGACAACGGTGTAACCAACACAAAGCCTTTCTAGGAGAGGGAGCGCATTGACATTTCACAACGTAAAGATGTTTACATAAATCTTCCGAACTTAGCCTAACCTGAGATGACCAACCTACGCCAGTCCTTATTTTTTTACAACGCTAGGCAGTGAAAAGATGTTACAACATCAGTTTTGCCGATATTATTTCGTACAGCTTACTACTGCCATAATTTCGTCAGCAAAGGTTAAGACTTCTTTTTCTCTCATATGTTTGCTGCTTCCAGCAACATTTAACGTACGCCTAAACATAGGTAGGCATATGTTACGGTTCCTTAATGTATGCATATTTCTGGTAAAACTATGCAGTAAGTCCGTAGCAATTAGTATTCGCAATAATATTAAATAGTAGCAAGTAATAATAAAATTGAGAGAAACACGCACTTGTTTGTTTACCAAGTTGGTATGCCGGTTAACATAACTAAGTAGTCCGGAGGGTTCGAGAGGATAATGGTGAAGTGAGGCCATTCTGCGCGGAAGGAACATTACAGCAACTGCAGTGAACATAATTCAAAGGCATAAAAGTTATTTTTTAAATGTTGTAATGATCACTTCTATCCACATTCTGGGCATCTCTACTTTGCCACAGACTGATTGCACTGATTTTACTTTACGCAGTAAAAGGCGCACGAATTGCCTATTAGCTATTGTTATTGTGGCTGTCGTTTCTCCTTTTACAATCAACCTTGCGCTTTTCAGAATTGTGTATTCCCGCTATGAGCTGTTTCTAGTATCGTAGGTAATTTCATTCCTATTTCTTTATAATTGGCCTTGTCAAAATCGCGGCAATAAAGGCGCGAACCTCTTAGAGGATGGATCTGAACGTAAATAGATAATCAGCACATTTTTGTAAAGTTGATGTTCGGCAAACAGATTAAACGGTCTTAGCTGCTTTTGATTAACCGTTCGATACTATTTTAGCTGGCCACACTCAACGAAGCCAGGACGTGCTTAAAGGTTATACTATCTACGGCGCTGGCATCATTATCGAAGATACATACAACCCTTCAATCAACCACCCATAGAAAACAAACTGAGTAAGAAGTTTTTGATTTCGTTTCATACAAATACGCGTTTTACTCTTTGGTTCTTTTATAACATGACCAAGCTCGGCCGACTGACCAGCCAGCACCGCTATGGTCACCGGCATCGCTGTTTTTGTTATTGAAAAGATATTTGACATTGCTTATACTATACCATTACAAGCACAGGAGTAAGAAGGAAGCGGTGAGAAAGGACAACCATCATTGAGCGGTAGCAGCGCCACCACTAGCATCACCAGTAACCATCGTTCCAACTAGCTACACGTTACGCAGCGACCGCAGCAACTGCAGCCGATATTTGGAGTAGAAATTATTTGCATCTCGCACAACAGTAGTAATATTGAAATTATCGTAGTGGCAATAGTAAGTGTACATGAGTGCTGTTATACAGAAGTATTTACGTGGACAGACAAACGTACATTCTCTCATGTAAAATAGTAGAACGAAAGAAGAAGGAAAAAAATGTGCTCGCGCAATCAAGAGCTTTCATTGAATTTTAATTATATCTAATTAAGCCACCAACCTTTTTCTCCACTTATTTTTCCACTCGATCCGCTCTTATTATTACTTAAATGGAGCGACAGGACTTTACACATGGTCTAGGCTGGTAGATCAGCTGAGAATTCTGCATATGTGTTTTATATTTGTTGAGTTAAATAACTTTAAAATAAGGCAAATATATAATTGTTGTGCTGGTGGCGCTGTGCCGGCTGGATGTGGAAACCACCATTTTGGAAAAGTTAATATTTACAGCCAGGATTTGTAGGCCCACTGCGGGATAGGCAACACAATTTCAACGATGCTAGGTAACCTAAAAGAGGAGTGTAGAAAGGTGAGTGCCAACCCTAGAAAGTCCCCTCACAAGCACTAGTGGAACTTTGATATTAAAATGAAGTAAAGGTTATGCGTCGATTTGGGAAAATCTTTGCTGAGGAGAATAATACTCTTTCAGCACCCGAACTGATCCCAAGTCCTAGGCATCTAAACATGAGTTGAGAGGGCTCATTAAAGTTAGTAAGGCACTTCATTGGAAGAAATTCCTAATTGAACTGAATAACGATGTGTACTGCAAAGTAAAAAATCTGCAGGAGCCGACGGCGCTCTTGCACGACTGGTTACAGAACTAGTAAGAAAAAATATGAATCCATCTTTCTATCTGATATTTGTACAGGTATTAAATAACATATGGTTGACAGGGTTATTCCCAGCAGAATGGCAATATGCAGACCTTATTTTGCGGTATATACCTGGTAGAAACAAAGATCGACTGTCAATCTATGACGCAAAATGTTTATTGGATGCCATCGACTAGACTGCGGTAAAGATTATCTGTAGCAGATCGCTCAAAGAAAGTGACACAAAACGTCTTACCTCAGATAACCAATTTTAGTTTACAAAGGATAGTTCGATAACAAATGCTGCTTCAACGGTGCTGACAATGACAAAAGACGAGATGGAAAAAACTAAATGGAAGCGAGGATTCTGTTCCCTAGTAGAACTTAATAGTAGATACGTCTTCAACTCCATACCTTAGAAGGTCATAACAGAATGTTTTGAAGAAAATGCACCTACAACTCTATTTACAAAGGATCATAGTGAGTAAATGAGAAGTACATAGGACACGGTGGGGTCACATATCACATGTCGAGAGGCATGCGTCAAAACTTAGTGCGAGACCTTTTTTTTTGAAATATAGGGTATGATGACATCCTGAAGCAGGACTATCTAGACTCGATCAAGTTAGCGACGTTTTTTTTGCTGATGATCTAACACCTGTAGTAATAGGAAGAAACAATGTGTAACTTATATTCGATATCAATGCTATCTGTGACTTAGTCAACATTGGACTGCGGACCATGGCCTTAAACTGGCCCCGGAAAAAACGGAACTGGCAGTACTCGGTGGGCGTAAAAAAGCTGGCGATGTAAGCATAAATTTACATGATCACACAGTTTTTTTTCTAAAAACATTATAAAGCATCTGGATACCATTCTACATAATACAACAAATGAAGGAGCACGTGTTGAATATGCCATTAACAAAGCCTTCAGATGACTAAAAGATGACGGAAATCTTAATAATCGAAATTGACGAAAAATAACGCAAACGAATCTTAGAAAGGACTTCAAAATATCTTGGTATCAGTTGTGGGTTCAGTTGCTCTTTACGGAGTGCCCATATGGGGGATGGCGCTTTGTAAAAAGAAAAACCTTTCTAAACTTAAAAGGGCACAGAGACGGGTAGCAATACGAATGAGAGCATTTATAAGTGTCTTTTACGATGCTGTAACGGTGCGCGCCAGGCAGTTTTCGTAGAATCGTGGAGCGTGGAGGAAAGAATAACAGTATACCTGAGCAGACGGATAACAAAAGGATATTAGATTCGTTACGATGAAAAAAATGCAGGTGAATACAGCTAAAATCACAAGAAAATCTGGCCAAGCTTGTCAGCACGTGGGTTGCAAAAGGACACGGTCAGCGAACGTTCGGCCTGGATAAATGAGTCACCGGACGTCGTTTGCAAATACTGTACGGAGGGTGTAAATGACTCGGTTGGACACACTTCTGGTACAGCTTTTAAGAATCATGAAGTAGTGCTGCAGAAAAATGGGTTCCTCCCCACAACTGGCATATGGGTCCCTATAATGTGAGAGTTCATAGAGAACTGGGTAAAATGTGCCAACCTGTAGATGATATTCTGAAGATAAAGGAACCCAGAGAACGTAGTGGGATGAGCTTTCTGTTGTCTCTTCTGTCCATTCCTTTCTCAGCAGGAGTGGATGCTAATGTGTAACTAGCCTTGGGTTTTCCGATCGTCTGTGTTTTCGACAAATACCTTACATACACATTAACTTACTTGGAGGGGCGCGGTTTTGGTGGATAACACAATTGAGTTAGTAAGGGAGCTAGGCTTCAGGCTGCGAATTGGAAGTCCCATACCCTGCTAGATGAATCGAGGTATGCATAAATTTTCTTTGGCCACTAACAATTTTCAATAAAGAAAATATGTACATCCAGGTACGCAACCTAGTTTTCAATCAAGTGCACTGTATTAATTGTACCACTCCTGTAAAAATCTCAGATGCAAGCCCCTTATCTAATTTAATAAAACTAAAGCCTTTCTGGAGTCAACGTCTAGTAAACCAACTAGAACCACAGAAAGCAGACTAAGAAAATCTGGTAAATTCCGCGGCACAGTAAGTGTGTGTATAGTGAGTCTTGGAGAACAGTATAATAATGCACCAATTGATAATAAAAAGAAAACTGAGTGGTGTTGCGTGTAAATAACATTTTACATTTGTCAAGAACCAACCTCGCTATAAGGAAAATCGCAGTGTTTAGTAATGTAATTTCTACTTCACCTTTCATGACGAAAACAGTTCATATGTGACATGTTGCTATCAGAGATATAGAATCGCAATCCTTCAGCAAATATCTACATGCTCACAGTATTGTGATCGTTATATACTGCCTACAAAAACTAATTAAAATGCGGTCGATGTTGATAATAAACGAAACACATATGAACTTACTTAATAAAAAGTCGAGTAAAGCAGTAGAACAAATGAAGGAGAGGAAAAATATACTCGCGCAGTAATACAGTGTGTACGGCAATGATTTTATTGTTGTCTAATTAAGCCACTAAATTTTTCTCCACCTAAATTGACCTTGAAGACCTTTTAAATTTTACGTTGCACATGTCTTGCGACAACCATCGTTCAAGTGTAGTAATTGATTGCTATTTGCAATTTATTATGAACTATGGCAATTATTCTATCATAATAGAATATTAATCTACCCTATTCTTTTCTATCGTCTACTACCACATGCCCTTCTTTCTACTACTCGCCGGAGAAACAATCACATATCCGACCTCTGCTTCTTCGCAGGTGCTGTGTCGGCTTTATTAATGTAATCCTGTTTAGCTTTGCAAAAACGGCTACATGGCAATAGTCGATGTTATTTTAGGTACTTTTTCTTGCCGTAGAAAAACGAAGCTGTAACTGAAACACCTTAGAATAAGGTTATAAATAGGTTTTGCAAGACACGCTACACGGTAAGGCTTCTAAAAAGCCGGGATAAAAACCTAGAAAGTTCTGTTGAGCGGTTAAGGAGACTAGAGTCAGGACAGCGTGCTTCAAGAAGCGCTCGCTAACTTGACCCGGCAAGCTTGTTTTAGCGGAAAAACATATTTTCGAAATGTCGTGACCGTAAACATATGCAAATACGTCTATGACATTGTTCATAACTCTACAACAAACATTGGCGACGTAAGTATATAATTCGATGAAATCGCCAGACACAGCTCTCTTCCTACCTGCTATAAGATTATCTGAATATTTGATCCGTGATTTGACTTATTTTTAATTTTACTATTACAGCCATGGATAATTTCCGCAGAAAGCCTTCAATTGTAGATGAGATTAAGAAGCAGCGCATTCTACATGTAAATGACAGAAAAACTTTGGACCATGCAGTTAAGATTCTTAACAGGTGTGTTTCAGTTTTAAAGGTATGATGGTGTCGTTACGTCCGTGTGCTCTCGCCATGTATCATTCCATGTTTAGTCAATGGCCTTGACATAGTTTTACTTTCTTATTAACTGGTATGTTTCCGATTACTATCAAGCACTTTAGACTAAACGATGTACCGAGTAGTACATTTGGTACACACATAGTAAAATCCGTTTGACCCAGTCCATGCGAAAGGCGTAATTTTCAAGATTTTTTAATGTTACGTATTGAATTTCTGCTTGTTGAGACTACTCTGCGCCATTTAGTTTTATACTTTGTAGGACAACATTTGTAGGACAACAAGGTTGTTCCAGTAAAATTGTTCGGGCGGACAGCCCGAACCCCTACCGCTCAGTCGTATACCCAAAATCTTTTCCTAATAATTTTATATCTTTCCGACTAATAGCAACTAAATTTTTAGTAAAGCAACTGAATGAAAATCTCCTATAAGAAGATGACCACCACTTAATTTTATACCGTATTCCATACGATCCAAGAAATGCCGCAATGGTAAACATAGATTTTCAAATGAAACATTTTGTCTGGCAACTAATCGATAACAAACCTGGCGTAGTAAGTGTGTAATATTACAGATGATAATGTCGAAGTTCCTTTTTTACATGCTTTCTCCTTCTGTCTATTCTTGAAACAAACTATCATGGAGTATGCATTAGTATATTATTTTACATTTATTACTTCTTTTCAGATACTTTGTTGTGGGACTGGACGCAAAAGTGCAACGCGGCCCTTCACGGAAGTATGTGACGTATATCGTTTTGGCAACTTCGAACGAGCTCATTTTGGTCGACGTGCATTCGTTACAAAGAATGCCCACTTCCAAAATGTTTGATCTATTAGCCCTTGCAAAGCTTCTCAGCGACCCCAATATCACTAAGGTTCGTTACTAATTAAAATCTTCTTACACATATTTGTATTATTTATAATATTTATTTATAAGCTTATTTATAAGTTAAGCTACATTTATCAGAATCTGTATATGGGGTTACCTTAAAAATCCGATTATCCGTAAGCCTACACTACCTATATGATGAAGAAATCCTATCCTTGCAAACGACGAGGTGAAGTTCTTATCTGGTCGGATATGAACCTCACTAATTTTTAGGTCCGAGGAGAACTGAAATCGAAGTACCGCGTCAGAAAAAAATTACAAAACGTTCATCTTTTTATAATTACAATATTAAAATTATTAATTTTTGGAAAATTAGTTACAGTCGATTACAGTTATCACAACTTAACATGTAAAGATAGCGAAAACTGTTATATTGCAATGTATTTGCACAAGTGGCCGACGGAAACGGTACCGGCTGGCGCGAGCTCTTCATGGAGTTTCTTCCATAAAGTAAAGCATAAAGTGAACAACTTGACAAGCAGAAAAATGTCGTTGTTGCTGTCATTGTTTTGGCTCATATCAACGCTTATCAGCATATCAAATCACTCGTGACTGTAGATTGACAACGGATATAGGTGTATATAACCCACTTTAAGCCAGCTACCTGCACAAGGACGTTACCGTTCAACATGTTAAATACGTAGAAATAAAAAAAAAAAAACTTTCACAACATCTTTCTGATGAAGTACTTGGGATTTCGATTCTGCTTGGACCTAAAAATGGATAAAGTTTGTCTGACCAGATACCACATTGAAACCTCATTGCTTAAGTAAGCCGAGGGTACATAATATATTCTGTCTGCATTTTTAACGATGAGCTATGCAATAATCAATTCATATTTTGCTTGTCGCTGTTCATAAACGTCATACATATGTACGTTGGTGAACCTTAGCGCTGGAAAGTCGTTTAAATATTTTGGACATATGTTTGTTGTCCTACACTTGTGTAAGGAGAATACTAACTAAGGCAAACTGAGAAGCAGAAGCTCCCATTCTTACATAGCTTTTTCTGTTGATTTCATAAGAAACATACCTTAATACCTAATACTCTTATTCGCTTAAAATAAGCATTTAATAATCTTGATACGAAAATTTACTCTTCGGTTTTCGTGGAGTTTATTTTAGTACTTGAATCGTATATATAAAGCATATAAAGTATCATAACGGAATTTAGTAAACACTCTCGATTAAGAGGTAGTCTAGGATTTAGACTGTCAACTGCCGTAAAACGCATGTGTCGTGCGGTTGTTCCATGTTATAGGACCACTGCAAAACATCCTCGAGCACATTTCTAGCTCTCATCAGATTGTGTTTTAGAAGTTAGTTTTCATGATTTAAATGATGGATAGTGTTCAAAATTTGGAACTCATTTTGCAAACGCTTGTTTGACGTCATAAAGCACCTGAATTCTGTACACGTTTTATCAGCCACATTGCTCAATTATCAAGACCACCACTATTCCAGTAAATAGTCATATATGATCCTCCACGAGAGAGCGGATTGTTTATACTATACAAATATGTTTAATCCATAATTTTGCATTGTTTTCCAGCCTGGGAGCTCCACTTAAAACTATATCAATATAATAAAAGATATTAAAAAACCTAACAAGCCTATTTTTTAATCATAATAACATATCAATAGTATTTATAACTATGCTCTTTAGATAATAAAGTGAAATTGTATCAATTTCACCGCCTGCAACCTCCACTCTACTTACCATATATGCATGATGATGAATTTATATTCCAAGCATACAATCAGAAAATATACTAGTTTCTTTGTACATACCTTAATTCTACAGGTGGGATTCGGAATGTCAGCAAAGCAACAATTGATTAAAGTCGCCCTTGGTGGTTATTTCTTACAAGGCGTCGTTGATATGCAAGAAGCTTTCCGGGCGATTGAAATAACGAATTCTCATCTGACGGCTCCCTCGGGCGCCGCTTGTGAGGGCCTACGAACACTCGAAAAGATTTGTTATAATCTTCTTGATAAACAGGTAGGTAATCTAGTTTTTTAGGTTTAAGGACAGCGCCCTAAAATATAATAACTTTAATGGACAAGGAAGCATCAGCGCAAGTGATAATTTATGCAACTGGGTGGCTCATGAGTATTTGTGTATGACAGTAGGTAAATGGAGGTGCCCGTCAGCATCTGCCGAACTGCCGCAAGTCCTTTAACTACCTGGGCACAAACAAGTACCGTTCGAAGCTGCGATACGTTTAGGCTATCTAATATCGGTACCCTAAAGCGGTAAGCGACCGCGTTGCTGCCGCTCTATGATAGAGTTATTATACTAGGATGTCTCGCACAAGGTTTCGGTGGTTTAGATTTTCATAACTTCTGAATTTAAGTAGACAAGTTTTGTAATTTTGTAGAATAATTATAGAATATTCCATACGCGTGCCCAGCTGACTCAAATTCAAAATACGAGCAATGCAGTTTTTTAATATGCGGTTTTTTGGTAACGAACTGAGGATTTTTAGTGCTATATTTGGTCCACGAAAACTTGTCAGGGAATAAACTTGGTTGAAAGGCGTCAATATATTTACTCCTTTCCCTACTTGTAGAGTCCTGCGCGAGGCCCCTAAGTCTCAGCATCTCAATTATTTTTGAAGCAATCACTTTGAAATTGCGCGGTGCATTCACTTACGGTAAAATTCAAAATCAGCACGCTGCTTTTTAAAAATGTAGGCTTGATGGGGATTTGTTTATATTGAACACTAAATTAGTCCATATCGCAGGCAAACTTAATGCTACCCATTCAGCTAAACAAACCTTTATATTTGCTCTAATTTGTGTGAGTAAGTTTTACAAGAACTGCCTCTCTAATTGGAGGGTGAACTGATTTTACAGATCAATGACCCCCGGGGTCCCTCAAGATGGAAATATTGAGGACTCGTGTTTGCTAACAAGCCCGATTCCACATTTGTAAAATGACCCTGTGACGAGCAAATTAAGTAACTCAAGTTAATGTAAAGCAAAAGATAGCTTATTGAAACTGTCTATAGCGATTCAAAGGCAAGGAAACACTACACCGAACGAAGTTGTTCGAAATTGTTACTCATTAATCACATTTACACTTACATATTTTTTTTACATACAATCGCTTGCTACTTTTTCGAGGCAGCCGCTTATTTTGTGAACTCCGGTTGAGTTAAACCATGTGACAGGCTTCTCAAATTTTTGTTGCTGCCCGAAAAAAGTTCTCTGGTATTGTCAACATAATTTTAGTTGATATAATTAAGCACTTTGAAATAAATCACTGCTTTACTAACACACGGTTTTTTTTATTTTTTCGGCTCTCTGGAGCGGCTCGAAGACTACTCATACAATATATAACCGTATATGCTGGAATAACGTTATATTGATACTGTTTGCACATTGAAGCTAGCGCTCTGAGAGCTTCTCAAGGTCTATATACTGGTAATTTACATTACCATGCTTTGCTTTATCTTATTATTGTTGACGTTGAAACAACTTACCGCCTTTAAAGCATTTAAGTAATCAGGAAAACAGCATAATTATTGTTTATAATTTAGTAATTGAAATGTAGTGATAGGGTCGCGCGTTATCGTCGAGTAGTCGTATCACGTGATGTCATTGCCGCGCAAGCATAAGGTCTTTAAGAATTAGTAGCATTGATCATTGCCTTTTCGGGAAATATTTTAATAGTAAATTCCCCTCACATCCAGCAAGTATGAACATCAGCTAACGTCGATATTTATTCGGCATTGTTACTAAAATTGTTTTCTTTTATGTGTGATGCCATTTTCTCGGCTCATCCTTCTCTGATGGAAAACACTGGCTGACGTATGTCTTACTCGTGGCGTCCGTGTATTTTAGGCTACGTTTTCAGTGGTGATAATTGCCCAAAATGTCGTTGGAGTACATTCTGTTCTGAACTCTGTTAATAAAAGAACCCATTTTTGAAACTAGCGTCTTGTTACAAGAGCCCGTTGTTTTCGTTGTGACTGTTGTATGCTGGGCGTCAACTAACTGACGCAGTTTAGCTGTGCAACAGCCGTTACCTGCGTGTTGGTTCACTCCTTTTGTGATGAATGTTACTATAGGCAAGCAATCCGGTATAAATAGTTAGCACCTGTTTTCAAACACGGAGGAATTCAAATAGCATGCGAGTTATTGGGTTTTGATGTCCGAAAGCGAAGGAAAACGCAAATACTTCTATTTTTTTCTTTCTATTCGTGATTTTGGTATTATAAGCGGATGTCTGAGGCGCGAAGGATGACCTATGCCTAGTCAAGATGATTTCACAACTCGCGCTTTAAGAAATTTTACATTGAGTGAATGTACATTGTTTAAGCTTTGTTTTGTTCAAAAGCTCCTGTGGTCATAGTGGTTCGCTGAGGTATAGTTCTCCTCTGTGACCTTAACGTTCCAATTTGCGTTCCTTAAATAACCGCATCAGAAACAAATCTTTGTTTCGTTGCAGGCTTACTTGTGCAGAGTTTTCACCAATATCCGTACAATTTGACCAGCGCTCTCACCTTTTTTCTGGACTGAACAATCTTTGGGTCTAAAAGTAGTTATTCTGTGATATATCAATTCTTGGATGATACAACTACCAGATAATCATCTTTAGCCCGCTAAAATGCTCCAGACAGACTAATATTTCCAAACACAAAACTCGCTTATAGCAACTCTTTATGCTGCCATTACATACAAATCTAAGCTAAACTTGTAATTAATGCATGTTGCTACACTATAATGCGTCAGTTTTATCTAGCTTTTGTACTGAACTATGGCTTTTCATGGCATAATTTACTCTCCAAGCATAGTCTGCATCGGTGATGTATCATCCAGTAATTCTTCCGGTTTTCTTCAGTTATGCTTCATACACTATTGTTTTTGCAGATTTCCGGTACGGATTTTATAATCCTAGCCTGAAGAAAACAGCCTCACATAAAAACAGGAGCTTCTGTTTTTCAATTTTTCCGTGTAAATGTGTGTAATGATCAATATAAAACCATCACGTTAAATAGTTCAATATTTTGTCAGTTAGTGTTACAAGATCTTTTACACAAGTGGTGCATGTAACACATTTTATTCGTAATTGTAAGCTCATTCGTGTTATTCGCTTGTTCAACGAGCAGCTTAAATTTTCTGTCTCCCGTTTAGAGCCCTCATCTTAAACCGTACACGAATGGTAAATATCCGTTTGCAGTGACCTTGTAAATCATGCTGAGTTAGATAGCTATGATTCCGGTTCTGACCGTTTGTAGCTTTTGGGTTTCGCTGTTGTAAGTTTTCCCGATCAGCCAGGCGTTAATATCTAGGTGGATTTTAAAGATTTCATCGTAGGAACAGTTTGCAAAGAGCTCGTTATCTAGGCAGGTCCTAGAAGTGGCGATAAGGGTTTCTGCTAGAAACCTCACAAGAGGTAATGGTGTTTAGAGCAGCTTTCTGTTCTCTTCAGTTTGAAGATTTCGACAATTTCATGAAGTACCTATCACGTTTATAAGAAATAAGATTGAGCAATCACGTTTTATTTAACAAATCCTCGTGGTTATTCTTGATCTAATGGGCAGGGCTAAACGTGCAACGGTGTTTAATCACTAATGATTTTGAATGCGATGTGCGCATTTTTTCAACAATGAATTTTATTAAAGGTACACTGGTGAAGTCCGAGTGTGAGTGGGGAGGATGGTTGTGTATCTTTATTATTCCCGTTACGTGAAATTTTGGAGATATGACGCATCGCCGCGCATAATGATGTTTAGAAATGCAATGCATTCTTCGTATTTTTATTTGTATGCATAATTGAATGTAACTGGAACAAAACTAAGATATTAAGGGAACGAACCATACAAAAGCGACAATTTAGGCGCGCCTTGAGAAACGCCACTGATAAGTCATGTTGCGGTACTCATGATCTTCTAGAACGTAATAGGCATGAAACAAACAATGTATATCACGCACTGGGTTTACATATGTTTGTTTGAATTTTTTCAGTAAAAAGTCTAGTTTTAAACTAATGACAATTTATTCATAAAATGACATTCCAAAGTCATTATTCGTTGTGGCCTTTTACAGAGGTTTTCTTTTTCGAATATGTTTGAACTAGCAGTACACTTCTATTATCGTTAGGCTAAATTGTTGACCAGTTGTAGAATAGTTAGCTTAGAGAAGTCAATTCCTCTAGCGGAACGAGTAGACTAGTTCATTTGTAATTATATGCTTTATGTATGCCCAGTTCACCTACGCGGGAGAAAGGGTTTGTTGTTTTTAAGCATTATTTTGCTGTCAGACATACCCAACTTCGTCAGAGACGCAGAACGCCACTTTAGACATTTTCAATAAGGATGGCCTTGACCGCCTTTCCAATTGTTATGGTTACGAAGGAGCCCCAATGGGTATTAGCGTCTTTTAAGTAGATAAAGGAGAAACTCTTTTCAGCAGGAGTTATGGAATATTTTTCAGGTTTACTTTAAGGTCAGATCTATCAATAAACACAGTGAAAATGACTAAAACTTTCTGGGGGTAATCGCTACAGGTGGCTATAAAGATCTAGTAACAGTACGCGTTGTTGACACTGTTAACAGATTTCCATAGCCACTTGACATTCTTAGTACCATTTGGCATAATTAAGAATTACTCGAAAAGTGATTTCTTAGTGGCTCACGTCTTTTGGCAAAATGAGTCAAAATTCAGCAGAATTATCATCTATCATGATTGATGAACTTTGTTGATGTGTACCCAGAGTTGTTAACGTTGAGTGTCAGTTCAGCGTTGTTAGAAACGTCGAATGTCCTCTAAAATCAGCATATAGGATCCCCCATTTCGTTACCCCTGATATCTTCGCCACGTTTTCGTTGCTCAACTTTTGTTCCAAAACAGTTATTTGAGCAATATCCAGTTGACTAAAATCTTGATATAGTATCAACATATACGGTGCAGTGCTGTGGTACTGATCAATTCAATCTAGAAATAATATATTAACTTGAGATAGATGCAATGGGGAAGCGGGTTCACGAATTTAGTAAGGTAGCAAGATTGGTGAAGTAGAAGGAAAGAGGCAAAGGAAAATAGCATAACAAATTGATCTAGATGCGAAAGCAAACTAGTAATAGTTTATTTACAATGAAAAAAGAGGCGAAAAAGCTAAAGCAGATTATAAGCGCATGTGCGCGTATATATATTATATAAAAATAAAATTTTAAATGTATATATGGTCAAAACCAGCATTTAACTAGCAGGTGAGGCTTTGGGCTAATGTTATGATCTTAACGCTCTTCTTAGTAACCCTTTATTGTATAAGACGACGAAAGACACTGAACATAATCAGATTTTAAACGTGCTTACTAAAGGAAAGTCGGTGCTATTTTTAACATTTCGCTGCGAGCTTTTCTTGTTGTATATTAAAATTGAAAATGATCGATAGTCTTAACGAGATTGAAATATACTGAGAATTTACCACAAGTTTAGCGAAATTATTAGAACATAGAAATTATGATACAAACGTGAATTATAAAAATTTTTACGAAAAAAAATAATAAACTAAAAAGGAAAGTCTTGAAGATACACTGTCGATGCGTTTTACTCGCACAAACTTAAAAGGCAAGTGGTAAAATTACTAAAAACAGTGGTCGTTAAAGATTAAAGGGACGTTTGTATAGCGTAGAAGTAGAATATGAAGCATACCTTCATAAGTCTTATTATTATTATTATATTGAAACGACTTGAAAAGAACCAATAGGGTACTAAAAGCAGGCAAATAAATTAGTTTGTATTGTTACTATTGCTTTTAATCAAGAAAAGGCACCTAAAATATTGAACAGGGTGATAAACATAGAGCAACAACACAAAAAATTACATGAAGCGGAAAAGGTGGACGTGAAAGTCTTGAACCTGAGTTGTATGAAAAGCCTAGCTATCAGTAATGTTGTGCGACATGTATGCATTTTAACGTCGTTGCCATTAAGTTAGAGCACGCATTATTGCAATCATTTGAACGATATATTTCGTAAATTTAGCCAATGTAAGCCATTATTAATTAAAAAAAACAAAGCTTATTTAGTGACAAAGAAAATTCGCGGTTGACAAGAACACAAAAGCCGTCAGACTCGATTAATACTGTGCTGATAAACTACAAAGTGAATACGATTACTAGTTTTCTCCAAAATGATCATCGATCGATAAATTCGGATCAATACTACAGAAGGATCGCCAGAACAATTGATTCTAGGGCGAGGTTGTCGAGACGACTATTCATTCTGACTACCTATGCGCTATTATACGGTCAAATAACAGTGTACATATTTAAGAGCAAATTACTCGTATACAATGAAAATGAGCAAAGAGAGAATGTAAAATTTGCGATCCAAAGGGTGAACATTGGTGTATATTTTTGAGAAAATTTGGAGCATTTCGTCTTTGCTACGGAATAATGAGCAGATCAAGAGCACATTTCAATAAAAATAATAGATGATAAAAAAAATCATGGCCATTTGGGTGATACCAATTAAAAGATAGCATATTCGGCTTTATGCAGATATCGTTAGGTCTCCAGCCATAATGAAATGTTTCAATTTACTTGGAAGCCAAATTAATTGAAGCTTTTTATTTGAAAACGCTCAGTGATTTGACATATTACTACTATTAACTAACTTCCTATGTTTAGCCAATACTTTTTTTAGATGTGTGTATATATATATATCGTATATACATTCTCACTACTTTGATCGAAACAGAATAATGTCTATCAGGTCACATTCTCTCATAGCTTTTACCTTCTAGTGATTAAATTGAACAATCACACAGAAAAATACCTTTTATTCAGTCTTATTACATTCTTAAAACTAATTTCTGGTTTTAAAATAGCTCCTACACGGGTCAAAATTTTATAACGAACCAGTGACAGAATATCTTATCTAAGGGTTCAGCTATGCGTGACAGGATTACTGTCATCAGGTAGTAGCCGGTTGGTTCAGTCACATTTCGGCTATGCTTATTTAAGACCAATATTCAGGTTCATTCAAGGTTTTTAGCATGCATTCGTAAGATACGGATAATTCGGTAGCCTTATGTTAACCACCCACTCAGTAACGTTGTGTTAATACGAATAGAGTTTAAATAGTGATCGATTCGACTAATGCATATAAGACTAAACAAGACAAGTAAATGGAAAGGGGAAAGAGAAATGAGTATGGAAAGTATCCGATTTAAATTGACTAAATATTTTTGTAAGAAGAAAGGAAGTTCCAAGGAAATTTCGGAACCGTTTCTTTGCGGTTGATATCTATACACAGTTTCTTCCAACGTGTAGCGCATTCTAAAAAATCCCAGACCCTTCATGTCTTAGACTTATAGTAGGCTGAAGTGATGCTTGATAACATTAAGCGACTAGCCAGGCATATTTTGACTACCGACTAGCGACTTCCTCGCGTATCTACCTCTAATATCTTCCTCGCGGCGGAAGTCTTCGCCTGCAGCGAAATCTTTAACCTGTTTTCGCTGTTTTTGCTACGGAATTACTAGGCAGTCGAGTAGGAAGCGATCTCATGATAGTTGGACCCTTAACCTAAAAGGTTGTCTTATTGTTCCAACCTTAATACTATTTTAACCATCATAGAGAGAACTATTAAGGTCATAAGTCAGAAATCAGTGGCCAACAATCTAGTTTGCTTTGATCTAGCCACACCTCAAATATTTAATACGATTAAAGATATATCTAAGGCAATTCCTCTTCTATAGCTACCATGCCAATGTGTAACCAATAACGTCATATGATATCACAAATACTTTCGCCTCAAATATATATATATATATATATATATATATATATATATATATATATATATATATAATCCTTCTTTCAATAAAAACGTAGGTAGCTTTTGATAATACGTGACACAAAATATATTCCAATTTTAATTGGCAAAAGATTTATCTAAAACTAACTTGCAACAATACATAGATTGCCGAATATCTCCGCTACTTATAAAATGAAAGAGAAATTCGAATGGCATCTTTAGTGCATTCTGTTTAGAAAAATTCTTTAGTGCGTGAATATATATACACTTATCAAACTATTAGGTAATTTCCTTCGGTCAATGTATGTTTTCACAGCGGGGACGCGCTTACGGTCTATGTGGTACTATGAAGAAGCTAGAATCGAATCAAATGCAGGAAGGTCGCATTCGGTATGTAAACGAAAATTAGTTGTTGCCTAATGTGTTCCCGCAGGATAAGACCTGAGATGATGTATTCGCGCGGGACAAGGTCTGAGATCATGCGCTTTAGTTTCCAAAGTAGACAGCTCTTTGCCTTCCCTAATACGGTTTTCAGAAGTTTCGGATAAGGCTTTCGATAGGCGAAGTGGAAGATACGGAAATTGAATTTAAAAAATTTTAATTAGAATGATGTTTTTGATGGCCTCACAATTTTGATGCAGAAGTTAGTAATGAATAAGTGGGAGAATGTCTGTCGCTCATCGGCACTTACGTTTTGAATTTTTTTTGGCGTATTTTTAAACCTTTCGCCTTTTTTTGATTCTTGGTATTTTTATTATTTTACTTTTAGTAGTCTAATTTCAATCCGTACTAATCCTTATGCTTGGACTGTTTGGGCGAGGTTTCGAATCAAGATGACTTATTATCACTTTAGCCACGATTAACATGAGAAAGCTATTTGCGAATCTCAAGAATTTTTGAGAACAACTTGCGGGGAATTTAAGCCTTGAATTGAACCCATGGTTAGAGCAAATTGTAAAAGCATGTCCATGACAGACGTTCTTATCAGAACTGTAGACGCGTTATTCTTATTCTGTTTTTATTTAAATGCCGCTCATACAGATCTCCAGAAAAATATTGCGGATCCTTTGGACTTGTTTGTCGAATCATCTTTTCCGGAGTTGTACTGAGTTGCATGGAAGCTGGAAACAATGTTAATTATATATTTCGGACAACCATGAAAATGTATAACCTTTCCGGCTTCTTAATCTGGATAATAGCTTTACTTAGGTTCCGATCAAAAGTTTGCTATCCCCACGGTCATAAGTTCGGAAGTGCGTTTTAAGAAAAACTGGCTTTTTCTCTACTAGAGAGAATGACGAATGAACCCACGCCCACTACGACAAATAGTTCGGCAAATTGACGCGAATGTGTATTTGGTGGTACATAAATGTGCGTGCGTGCGTGAAAACTATTAATCAGTACCAAGCTGTATAAGAGCAAAGAAGTACATTATAGAAATGTACTTCCTTGCTCTAGTAGTCATGTCACTATTTTTGGAACACTCCTCTATGTCCTAGTGACGGCCAGGCCATGCTAACGGATTGGTTGAGGAAACATAACCTCCAAAACTTAGTGTTTCTGTGTGTTCAGATTCCAGCAGAGCTATGTGACAATCCGGAAGGCGCGTATTTATCGGAAATGGGTCGCATTGGCGTGGTCACTGAGGCTTTTATCGTATTTCACGCCTATGTCGAATTGGAACGGAGAGTGCGGCCAAGTCATTTGCAATCACTGATAGCCGAGTTGCTCACGGAGCCGGCATATGATGACTACCTCAAACTCTGCATTCCTTGGAACTCGGTTGGTATTTAGGGATAACGAAATCATGAGAAGAGCATTTTATAAGTTATTGTGGCTTTATGAGCTTCTTTTATTTGGACTTATCTTAATTTTCGAAAAACGCTTTATGGAAACAAATGATTTTCAAATTACGAGAATATTCGGCATGAAAAATTATATATATATATGTTAGATGGAAGCAAAACTTCCACTTTTGAAAATATGTTTACTATATTTAACTTATATATTACTATTTTCAGTTTATATATTTTCGATGCACTACTGTTTCCATGGTAATGTAGTAGAAACGTGTTCGCGTAACTAAACCACACAAATCCAACGAGCGTGTTTGCCTCGTTTTGAAGATCAGCTTCCTGATGCTAGCGCTGTTCTGGGCACAAAACTCAAAATGTTTGTTTAAAATTGATCTGTAAAGATACATTTATACGCCAGTAATCTTAAAATTACTTAAATTTGCTTTTTCAAAAACGGTTACATCTGCCATAAAGGGGGATAAACGGACTGATTTAGTATTTTGGCTTTTTTTAACAATTAATGTATTAACCATTTATCATTTAAAAAGAGTCCCTTTATCGCTTTATGAAATCTTGTATAAAGCAGAGAAAGGACTTGACCATAGACTGGACTAATTAACACTAATTAAACGACGTGCAACGCCATACGTATTTTAGGCGTGACAAGCGCCTGGAACTATTCATCATTGTCACTTTGTATGTACTGCATGTCTTTGACAGAAAACCTGGGCTTAAAGGTAAAACTTAGCCTTAAATTGTTGAGATTAAGTTTTTGCCTCTAAACTTGTCTCTAAGTTTCCTAGATCGTACTGGGTACCGGAAAATTAAATTATTAGACATTTTAGCAAAGCAGATTTGGGTTGAGTCGATTCGATTGACCCACCATGGATAATCCTAATTATGTCAGTTGTTAATAACTATTTTATCTAGCTATACTAAATTACAAAATTTATGGGCAACATTAAACATTTAATCTTGCATTAAATATGTACCCAGTGGCGTTGGTTCCGCGTATATTGGATTTAAGCCAAATTTCAAGCAAATATTTTTATAATATAAAATGTTACTAAATTAAATATACACCATTTTATTGGATGAGCTGGTGATGCCATAATCTGATTATTGTATAACTTTTTCGGGCAAGAAAATGTGTTTAGTGACTTTTGTATCCCTCCATTGAAACTAGGTTAACACCACTAAGGGAGAGATTGAAACAGGTGATTGCAATATCAGGGCTATATGGCGAGTGCATTAGAATTTTTAATCTAAGTTCTCTCGACTTTTGTCGGGTAGCTAAAGACTGCTGTGATCTAACGTTGTCATGGTGGAGGTCAACGCCTTTTTTGTTCACTAGTTCCGGTCAGTTCTTTACAATGCCTTATTGCAATCTTGTTAGAAGGGGTCCGACTCAGTCATCTTTTCAGGCAATAGTAACTCATAAAGAGACTATTAATATTATTTCCACTTCTAGTAGACATATAAGTGTCAGTTTAAGCTTTGCCACAGATCGTGATGCAAATTTTTCATTTATACATTATTTTCATATATATCAATTTTTCATCGCGCAGCTCGACCGCTGTACATGTAGCCTAGTTTCGTTGCGTTTCTGCAGAGTTTTGCGAATAAAAATTTGATCGAATAATTTTTCCTGCGTTAATGCTTGTGGCACCCAGACATCCAGCTTTTCCAAATGGTTTAAAATTGTTTAATAGTGAATGTTTAGTTTTTTTGATAATACCATGGTTACTTGTGTGTCGTTTTTACTCAATGTTTGCAGTAACTACGTTAATTTTTCCATAATAGGTTGAGTAATGCGAAGAGCATCACGCCCACGACAAATTCATCGCTGAATCATTTCTTTTAATCGCATCTTGACCATGAACAGTATCTTTTTACAGACCTAAGGAGCATTTGTGGTATTATCATAATAAAATCTTAAGTTTTTTAATTAAACAAAAATTAGTTTAATTTTTTGAGAATTTAAAAAAAAAATTAAATATAAATAATTAAACTTTAACTAAGCATTTCAGCAATTTTACCATTTACTACAGCAAACCTCAGCTTGCAGAGGACGCCACGCCGACTTGACGCAACTTATCTGAGATATACCTAGCCATCAAGCTAGGAAAACAGTCAATACTTTTATCAGGTTTCAACTTCGACCAAGATGCATTCTATTTAAATTATGTTGCTATTCTATTGATAGAAATAACAATTCCACATTATCGGACATTGAAAAATTATACGATGCAGTCAATACCATGCTTTAATATATAATAATATAGTCGTTAATTTCCGCTAACTTGAACCGGCTTAAAGAATATGTACAAATTTAGAACTATCCTTTGCGTCTTGTTTCCAATGATACGCCACCTGAGGACCTGCCTCCAATTCCTCACAATCTCGAAAAACACCATTATTAAGGCGGCTACCCCATGGGAAATTTTTTTCAGTTTTACTGGATACATATTGGCCAACCTGCTCATTTAGTTTTGTAGAAAACCTTTTACCATGTTTCTGTAACGGAAATCATTAACAGTCAAGTAAGGGAAAACCGTTTTAATAACACGTCGTGACCGAAGTATTCACCATACAATGGATTTGGGTATGCCTATACGCAGCACTTTTGTTTGTGAAGTCAGGTAAATTTACAAGTTTATTGAGAAGGTGATTTTCGGTAAAAAAATTACGATGGAGTCGCAGCTGTCCTCAGGCTTTATAGGTACGGGCTTTGTAAACTCCTGGGTGAGCTAAGTATCTAGAATAAAAATCTTTGATGAGACTAAATATTGCAATCGATGAGAAACTTCAGATGCCTCACTACACTAACACGCTCTCAGATATGGCTTTAACAATTTCTTCTGTGTGCACGCTTCGTGAATACCCAGAATGCGGAGTGACGGATACAGAATTAGTCGTACCGAGCCTTTGCAAAATACTATTTACAAAGATCCTGGGAAGGGTAGTATACGTATCATACATCCCGTATGGTAATGTACAATATCATAGCAACTAATCGACCGTCTAATAACAAGTTTTAAACATGTCAACAGAGTAACTTCTTTTTTTTCTTTTGTGAAAACCATCACACCACATAACTGTAGCGCAAACACTTAAGCAGCAGCATTAACACATCGAAAATTTTGAAGCCGCGTATACGTGATAAGTAAGAATATTTAAGTGAACTGTCACATTTCTTCTAGCGATTTGTGTTCGACTCACACAGGTATATTTGGTGGAGACTGTCGACGGCTACTTAGATGCTGTGGAGTACCTCAAGACATGCTCTGTGATTGGTTTTGATTCAGAGTGGAAACCGACACGATGTCCTGGTGCCCCGGGGCGCATGGCACTTTTGCAAGTGGCATCTGATGATAAGGTCAGTTAATTGCAATTATTTTTAACCATACAATTTAATATTGTGATTTGCATTACATCCTTTGCCCTTCAATAAAGAATGTAACGATAACACGTAGTGTGGAAGAATAAAGTTTTTAGTAGAGCGCAACAGACAGCCAAAAAAGGCAGGAGTTATAGTGTTTCACCCTTTCCCACTTGAGACGCAATCCACAAGTAAAATCCACTTCGGGTTTTTTTTTTTGTTTATGGCAAGTTTTTGTGTATTTTCAAAGTGATTACAAAATGTAAAAAAAAAAATGTTCTGTGTTTCTGCATCTGCGGTCATATTAGCGAGGTTTTGTAAAAACCAACAAAAATTACAAATCGAAAGAAAAACCTTAGATAGAATTTAACGGGCAAAGTCCTCTTTTTAAAGGATTTTAAAGGATATATGAAATCATAGAAAGTTCTCACTAAAAAGTCTCAGTGAAGATAGTTGATCATAAATTATTATTGTACCAAGAGAACAAAGATTAATGTACACTACGAGAGAAGCACCACAACCGACTTTGTTTCACAATAAAGGCAAAGAACAAAACCCAATGTAAACCCAAAACTACTTAAAAATATCTAGACACGAATTTATCCACCGTACTGGTCAATCAAGATTTTCTTTGTACACAGCAAGGCTTAGAAAATGGAAAGATCAGCTGGAGATACTTATATTGGAGATATAGCAAAAATGACTGGAAATTAATAGAAAGCGCAGGGTGCTGTATAACATACCTAGTTACTTGAATCTTCAATGCACTCACTTCCTTCATGGATATGTCCTGTGCCCAACCCAAAAATATCTATCATTAAGCGAAAGGTGTTCCTCATGAAAGTGATATGCAAGATAATGAGAATGAATGCTGAAAGTGATATTTTAATGCGGAAAAACAGGGCTGATCACTTGATACGAATTTCCTCACAGGAAGGAGAAAAGTACAGCCAACTGATTTTTGTTCTTAGTCAACGATACTGCTCTACGAATGAACTCGGCTGTGCCTGTTGATATTATGATCTAAAGCTGTCGGAACAAATGCTCCATGAACAACTCATGCTGCATACCGAAGACATAGGACGAAGGATTTCTTTTGATTTTTCTTGGTGGGGTGCGTTGTTTTAGATGTCATTGCGGTTATTTATAAGAAGGATTCTTGGATAATGTTATTTTTATGTTGCTAATATACGAGCAGAAGACATTAGACATAATTAATAATAGCTTTACAAGCTGATGATGTGCCGTATATAAAAAGTGAGAAAAAAAGCAAAGTTACTTTGAGAAGCGCTAGATGATTTTTTTTTTAATTTCATAAGATAGGGTTAAACCAAAACAAAAAAAACACTAATGTGTTATAACGCGCATAGAATCCATGACATTTTGCGTTCTTATATGAACTTCGACTTGCATGCATACTTAATTCATCCTTGATTCCGGACAGATCACGTCAATGTTTTCGTGTGTGCAACTGAATATTAAGTTTTTAGTGTCAAACGATAAAATTAAACAAACTATATATATGTTATACCTCATTTCTAGGGCAGAGTTCACCTGCTTATGATCTATCTTTAAAAAATGCGAGAGAGGTTTTTACTTAAAATTGAATGTTATGTGCCACAGAAATATAACGCAATGATGTCACTCGAGGATCGAAAGAATGCTTTCAATATTGAACCACTTATTCGTATAATGGAAACAAGGCGGCATTTCAAGTCGTTCTTAACCTACATGTTCTAGCATGTTTGATTTGGCTAAGACGAAATAAAAAGAGGGTTCATGCAAATACGGTACACTCTTAACGGATGACGGCCTATAGTCTATCGCAAGCATTAAAACTCACGAAGTGACGGAAAATAACTTAATATTGAACGACATATTGTTTTCACATGTAAACATTCCCAATGAAAGATATATAATTATAAGAAAATTATAAGATATAAATGTACCCAAACCAGGATATATATATCCTGATTTGGGTATACATACATATTTTTATTGGCGTTCTTTAGCGTTAACCACACAGCTTTAATTCTCTTCTGCTATTCTAATAATATTCTGATAATTTCTAGTCGAAGCTAGTAAGTTCTGCTGGTTTTTTGCTAGTTTTTTCAAGAATGTTTAATAAAAGTAAGTAAGCTCTTCTGATATATGAGTGTCGGTAATGTGTGAAAACACGCTTCAAACAGCACTTCACAGCCTCCACTGCATGAAGCGACCGATGACCTATGACTCGGCTCAAATATTAATAAAAGGCACATATTGACTAACTCGATGGTGCAAGAAATTTTTTTTAAGATATGACAGATTGGTATTGCTAATTCATAATAGGAGTAATAACAAGAACACGGTATCGAAAATATATATATAGATACATATAAGATATACGGTATTGAAAAAAATATATATAAAATATAGAAAAAAAATGTTTTTTTCTGCTGACTTATTTTAGCTGAAAACAAAAGTCTTAACACTTAGATTACAACTTTGTCGTTTCAGGTATTCCTGTTCGATGTGCTGGAGTTACATCGCGTTCTTACGTATGGCGACTGGGCGTTACTTAAATCCATCTTTACAGACAGCGATATTGTCAAGCTCGGTTTCGACACTCGGTAAGAGTACTGCCACATTACCTTGCATAATATATCTAATAATGTGTGATACAAATAATTATGCAACCCAGTTAGAATATAATTTGGAGTGTAAAGTTCAAAACAAAATCGAGAGTCGTTATCGCCCGGCATTAGTCATCTGTTGCAGACTACTTTGTCCACCTTTTTTGCGTAATACAGGTATTCTATCTACATTTTTCCTAATTCAGGTGGTTTGAGTTAAACCTGATACTAAGGCTCAACCGCGTTTATATCGACTGATTACTTCTCAGCGTTGTTAAAGGTTTTATCCTGGAATCTTAGTCAACAAATTTTTGAGGGCTTTTTTTGTACATGTTTAATTTGATCTCCTTTAATTCAACTGTATAACTAAGCAACTTGTTTTTAATGAAAAATCATTTTTAAGATCTTAGAATTGCGCAGGAACATATGCGGTACACAATAATTCTAAATAATTTAGTTAACAGATCTAATACTTGCGGTTAACTTCATTGGCTTTTAGATTGTGCGTATAATACTTTTGAAAAATCACTAGGAGTCATGCATTTAGTGCAGAATGTGGTATTTGTATTTAAAAAATCTAAAGTAAGGTCTTCGAACATAGTTCGAAGCAGTTAATATTAGTTTATGTACGTATGCCTAAAAGTGTATTGCTTTAATACTGCTCTTATGTTTATTCAAAGTCCTTCAGAATTCGTAGTCAATTCCCTACGATGCAATAATAGTCGGTCAAAGAAAATTTTCAAATGAACCATGGAGCACCTAAGTACGTTTTACCAGTAGACGCCGAAATTTGTTAAGATAAGTACGTATGGTGTGGGCTCACTTTTTTTAATTTAATATCTACATTTAGTTAAAAAATTCATTTATGATTTATCTTAGCTTTGAAGTATTAAACGTGTTTCCGCTAAAACCGTAAATAAAAATCCCTGGGTAAGAGTGAAGCTTTGCCCTCATATATTATTTTCCTATTGGAACAAAAAGAACTGCATTACACCGTAAAATATTACTACCGATATTATACAGGAAAACGTAGCTAATTAGTGCGCTCGAAACTGGGCTGCTCATATCTGTATTAATTTTTACCAAAATTGCATTTGGATACTCTTCATAAATCTTTAAAACAAGGTAAGCATATAATAGCTTTACCATTATAGTACAATCCTCTATTAAAAAATTAGTCGTTTTTTTTAGATCGTCAAGTATGAAGAATTACTTTTTTCGAAGTAATTTCCATTAGGTGCAATACACTTGTGCCCTCGTTTCTGTTGGTTCTGAGAACACTTCGATTGTCGACAATTCGGTTGTTGAGATAGCCTAAAACACAGGCACCACATTCTTTCATCTATCATGTAGAAACACTTTATCTTCAGGCTTTTTATGGATATGAAAAAAATAGCGGTAATGAATAGGTCCGGTAAATAGTGAAGTTGAGATAACACACACATAGTTTTTGTGCAGAAACCGCTTTACGGGTAGCGAAGAGTCAACATTGACGTAATGAGGGACCTAGAACTTTTTGTGCCATATTTGTTGTTTCTTACATCAGACAGACTCGCGCCGTTTTTAAAACTTCTCGACAAGATTGCTTGGTGACCATGGGTCATGATGGCCGATGTCCCGACGATCAAAGAAAACGATTAGGAGTACTTTGGCTTTTCCGGTCAGGGTTCGTGTTTGAATCAATATTCAAAAAAGACTCCTTTTTGGTCTGAAACCCACATCTGGTCATCTGTAATGACGTGTTCAAAAAAGTTTTGCCTTTAACTCCAACAGAGTACCAAAAGGTTTACCCAAGAGAATTATTCATAGTTGTTCATTTACTGGACATTCAGCTATTTCAGCAGAATATGCACTGTACGTCTTCGGACTCTTGACCGGTCGGTTCAAATGACCTGACATGAGGCGGTTGAAACACCTACATTTTCTGATGAGCTCTTATGATGGATGGCGGATGGCAAATACAAATTGTTTCGTCCTTTCCTTATTGCCATACATGATCGCCGTTACAGGTTTGCCAGGTGGAGGACAGTTCTCGACAGAATTGTCACATCTCCTTTACCTTTTTACTATGTCATATCCATATGGTGACTGTACGGTTGACCTTATTTTCTCCAGGGCCTAATGCACATTCATTATTTAATATGGGACAATTACAGATGGCTCAATACATCTTAACATTACCGGACAATTTCTCAGATTGCATCATATTGCGATGATTTCTCACCTATGTGGGCCAGAAGCCCCGCCTTTTTGCTAAAACAAATCTGGATCACTTGCAATGTTTCAAGCGTGCAAAAATACAAGCAACTAATTTTTTCTGAAGAAATATTTGCATTTGGTGTCATTGTCGAATCGTTCTTCTTTAAATTTATTTTGAAAACAGTGAGGTTTAGAAAGACGGGTTAGGAACTATTTTGTTTTGCAATCTCACGGGGCGTCTGCTGGTGGAGTTTCCTCTGGGGTACTTCTAAAATGTATTTGAGGACCGACGGCTTTCATAATCTCGACACTAACTTCGGTTTTATTTATGAGAAAAAAAAAAGTCGGGATCCCTTTTATTCAATAAACAGCTCTTTAAAATAGTTTTCTAAAAAATGTCTTCGTGATTCCCTTTAACCGTTAGCATCTCGAACCGTATTTATCACACGTCTTAGGTTAAGAATTCTTTCAATGGCCATTCGCATGCTTTACGAAAAGTAAATAATTTGTGTTAACTTACGTCCTTACAAAAAAAAACCTTAATTTTGGTTGGATACCTAGCCAAATCTGCCCGTGTCTCTTATTTTTTCGCTGACCTTAATAATTATTGCTGCACACTCATTTGGGCTAAATGAATTAGAAATAGGTTACTGACCCCCAACTTAATACTTTCAGTACAGACCGAGGTAGTGTCGAGGTAGCGCCCAGAACAAATCTGACCTCACGAGCCGATGTTTCGTGAGTTTGCCAACAAGTGAGTAACCCCTTAGTAGAAGTATCTTTGTTAATCACCGTGTAGGCCTTCTCCTTCCGTACGTTATGTGGTACTCAGGGTGTCTCTCTTAAATAACGATTGTCGAAGTTATTCAGGCGAGTAGCCTTTACACTCTTGAATTTTTTTGTCAGGATCCGCATTTCTACTAGTAACGAGAGCGCGAATGTTTGTCAGTAACGGTAGTGTAGTTGACAAAACCAAGTTCTATTTCTATTTTAGTTGTCTGAGAACGTCTACAGATAATTGCTGATCATATCCAGCAACTTTTTTGAAAATAGCTCTTTTTCAAGAGCTCCATTGTCACACCCTGTCCATTTCATAATATCTGAAAATGCTTTCACACTTTTTGTTGTTCTTCCCGTTTTACACGGGGAAACAAGCAGTCCTCGTATCTTTTCGGCCATTGAATTCATCTACAAAAAGGAAACGGACACAACATTTTATAAAATTATAAATGAAAATGAAGGCTGTATATGTAAGATTTTATGGCTCATTAATTATTTTTACCTTGCATGTTCTTATAAGCAAATGTAAGGCAAACGAAAAACGTAAGATTACAGCAATTTACGTACCAAGTGTTCATTTAATTGCTTACGCGAGGAACTTAACGTCCCCTCTACAGTGTGTCAAATAAGCTTAAGGTTAGCCTGTAGATAGCAAGATCTAGTCGTTTAAATAGTGATGAACTAAATATTTATTTACGCGTTGCTAGTTGTACATACGAGTTGACAACATGTCACGAAACTAGTCACGTAAACTCATATTTATGACAGTGTAACATATTGCTGTGTGTATGTAATAATAGACTCAATATTCGAGTTACGAATTTTTACTAAAACAATTTATATCAATAGTTAACTATATCGCAGTGTCTTACTTATTGGGTTCTTAAATTAGTTACCAGGGATCATGCATAATTCCCGTGCATAATCGTACATAATAACCATTACCTCATCAAATATGTTAGCACAGGGCTTCCACAACAAAAGAGCTTCGCAAGCTTTCCACAACAAATAAAGCAAATGCTATCACCTCTGTTGGATAAGCGCAAATCTGTTTTATTTGATGATATTTTACTCCTGTCCAATCTTATTACAACTTGCCGTATTCTCGTCGTTATCTTTGCTGTACTTCTTAGTTTTTTGTACTGTGCGAAGGCAAAGCTTTTAAAGCGAGATGTCTTTCTCCTCACCAAAATCATTTTATGCCATACTGAAAGACTGCAAGTGAGCATATTTGTCTCAATTGCCCTTGAGCACAAAATGTTGAAGCTGTATTGCTTTAACGTTCTATGCAGCCTTGTTGGAATAAATGCGTTCATTCTAGATGATGTGAATAAAAAAACCGCCGTGTTCTAATGACACTCATTTCCACCGATGTACCTACCTTTATTATGTACTATATAATAACCAGTTTCAATTTTTACGCGCAGGGACGATGCCAAGTTACTCAAAGATTTTATGGGTCCGGTCGAGATGGAATCCGTTAAGGACATGGCATTAATAATGCGCGCTCTTGAAAAGCTTCGTCCCGAGCATATGACACCAAAAGGACGTGTGTTTCCCGTTGTTCGTGGTTTATCCCGCCTCTGCAACGTTCTTCTGGGGCGACCTCTTAACAAATCAAAAAAGCTCTCAATGACTAATTGGGAGAAGCGGCCTTTGGCGAAGGTATTTCTTGAGTATGCTGCGCTGGATGCTCATTGTCTTGTTCTCTGTTGGCGCGAATTGCTCCGACGTTTGGGGAAAAAAGCCGTCGAACTAATTGATATTTCGGTTATTGCCTATAGTGTTGAAACCGAAGCACTGCGTCAAGCCATGTGAGAGGAATGTTAGTAGCTTACAATGTTCAAGAGGTCTAAAGAATATTGTCCATACCAATGTAACATAACTATGTAAAGCTTCCATTATATTGAACGCTTTTTATCTCGATATTAGACGACTAGATTATTTCACGCATATGTATTTATATATATGCTTCTTATGTCGTGATGTTCTAAAAGCGCTTTTTGGCAAAGCCTGTAAACTACATGTGACCTAGAACCCGAGATCATCTACAATTGTACATTCTTATGTTTGACCTTCACTGTTGCATGATTCTGATTATGGATATACATTTACTCATCGTCGCCATAAATATGTGGAATGTGCATTTCTAGTAAATGTAAATGAATCCACTAGCTAAAACCAAGGTGAACAAGGTTCGTAGCCGCTTTTCTATAAGCTACATATTTTCGTTATATTTCTTTGTTAGAAAGAACATTGTATTTTTATTTTCTAGTCATATTTTTATCTCACCTATCTATCCGCGCTTCATCAAATCTTTCCTTTCTTTTCAAGTAGCCATACACTGCTTCCCGCACCTACCGTTAGTTAAAGCTGCAAAAATAGTAACGGAAATCTTCGGGATTTACCCCAATAAATGTAGCAATAGGACAAAATTTTGTGTTCCGTCAAAATGAATTTGCTGGAATGGATCACCCAAATTCCTAACCCAAAGGATAGAAGTTTCAATAGACTATGCAAAGTTCACTATTATTACTAAATTTATATATTTCTGTTTCACTCAGTATGCTTACTTGCACTCCATTACTGTCAATCACTGAAATAATTGTGCGTGCATACGATCCAGTTTTTGGTTATTTTTAAAAATTGCCCATATTTTCTCTGAGATTATGACTAGCAAAGCCTTTTTCGTAGTTATGTCGTAGAACTTGCATTGATTGCACGATTTGATCCGATTTCAGCAGCTACGAGCCTTGTTTACGTTGATTTTAGGTTATGAATTTATGTTGACACTCCGATCACATGCAAAGACTACAAATAAATGTACATTCACAACCAAAATCATATTATAGTGGATGTAGGCTAAACATAAGCATGTATAATCGGACCTAAGGCGAGTTAGGTTACAAGCTCTAAGCAAAAACAAATGAATGTAAACTACGTTCAACCGAAACTTGTACAGTTGTACACTCTCATGTTTGGCCTCCACTACTGCATGATTCTGAATGTGGACATACATTTAATTATCTTCGCCACGTGTGTGGTATGTGTAATTTTTTTGTAAATTGAATGAATTAGCTAAAACAAAGGTAAGCAATATTCGTGGCTGCTGATATGGGATCGAGTTGTTTTTATTATACAGAGTGAGACCTAAAGCGGAATCGAAATAGGCCAAAAGGGGTATGCTAGATAAATCTCATAATCGCGGCGCGAATATAAGTAATATATGCGGAAGGCAGCGAGTAACTAGACACGCATGTTTATTTAACGAAACGAACTATGTAAATGACCCGGAACAAAAGGCAACAATTACAGTAATAATATCTTATCAATTAAGAAAGATCATCGAAGCTCCTCCAGGAAGATTCAAATTAAATGGGACACGAAATTTTGTTTACATCTACCGCTATTACTACTTTCAGTGAAATCTGTAAGTTACAAACAATTCTATCGCTATTCCAGTAGCATTAAAGGACTGCAAAGAAACAGCGATAGAGGCATAAGTACTTGAAGAGTCCAGAAAAGATTCGGTAAAGTATAGAACAAAAAGAAGGATAGCATCGAAACAAAGTAGTTAGAAAATAAAAATGTTCTAAAAATAGAAATCCAATAGCCGTGTGTAGCGTGTAGAAATATTGAGCGTCATACATGATAGTAGTATTAACTCAGATCAGTGTCAAACATAGAATTAAGGAATCGTATCTTACATATTACTATTTGTACATAGAACTTAGTAACTTCACGATATGACTACACTAAAAATATTCACTCTTGCAACCTCTATTGACCACCAATAATACGTAGATATGGCCTCGATGGTCGTTCCAAGCGGTTGCGCTTCTAAACTCAATGCTACCTATGACTGAAAGAGAAAGAAACTTCCATTAGGGCTGCTAGGTTGACTTTACCAAGAAATGCAAACTCTGTGGCGCTTGTAGTTTTGCTATTATAACTATGATGCACCTTCATTTTGCTAAATGAATGCACATCATATTTCATAATAATAACATAAATATATCAGCGTGGAGGATTACTATTACTATTAGTTTTATTTAAATTATCGTTTTTTTTTTACAATAACTAGAGTAGGATGGTAGTCAGGTATAAACGCGAAAGCCAAATTCCAATGTTCTAATTACCCGTAGCTATTACGAAGATGTCTGTCATATCATCGAAATGTTGCTTATAAAAATATCTGCCAGCAAAACCAAATAGACAGTAAATGCACATTCTTGGGGTACAAACCTTTGATGTTCTTAATGGTACTATGTGATCTAAATCTACGTTTACTGTAGCGTCTGCATTGAAATATTTTGTAGTTCGATGTAGGCAGCCTAGCCAATTTTTCATGCCGTATTGTGGCTTAGCTGAGTATTTTTCATCTTTTAAGTTCATCATACAACATAACGCGACTTTGCGTAAAATTTGATTTCAACTTTTCCAATAAGATCAACATAATTTTATTGATATCGGTGACATTTTTACAAGATGAAGAAATTTGGGTATAAGGGTAATTTAATGTCATGATAAAAATTTCTACGAATATTTCACGGGGAAGCAGCAGTGTTTTCCAATCAAGGATGATCATCAGTCTGTGATGATTATTGCGATGTCGCAATTGTACAGCGGTCGAAACTAACAAACCATTTAGAAAAATAACAGATATATTTAGGCTGAAATACATCACACTTAAGAACAAATATGACCATTTCATTCTCTACCCACAATTGAAAAACCCTCTGAACCGCATTAGGTCTATGAAGAAGTCCTTTTGATCGATGTCCGAAAAATTTATTCTTTGCTAGTCGACAAGTTATATAAACAGTTGTGTACCATTTAAGACCCTTTGCCCTATTAATTTCTTTAGTATTTTTTTAATATATTTTTGTAAATATTTTTTTTTATATTTTAGTAATAATAAATATTTTAAAGCTTATTATGAATTCGGGTTTTGATTTTTCAAATACAAAAAAAAATGTTTGATTTAGCAAATGTAACTTATATTAAAAAGATCTTATATTTTTTTTGGAACTTGAAAGATTATTCATTTCAAAACCCGAACTATACGGAAATACCTGCAGGGCAAAAGGTATTAATATGAGTACTATTCGAATTTAATTAAATTAAAAAACCAGCGAAATTTGTTGGAAAAAACGAGGAGATTCTAAGAATAAGTACAGGTATCAGATATCTTATCATTAATTTTGGACCTCCTACTTTTATAACGTTTGTAGGTTTTCTACTATTTTCAATGAGCTTACGATTCTCTTGAAGTCGGTTCTCTGAAGAAAAAATTCTATTAAAGCGTTTTCTTTATCTTTTAATCCTCGATTGCCACAGTTTAGCTTTTTACGGTTATTTTATTTCATGACATTAAAATCGTCACACTGTACTAAAATAATACGCTCACCCTAACCCCAAAGTCAAAGTAAGGAAATGTGGAATCTCATAGAAGCGCTCATAGAGTTGTAAAGAGCTTTCTAACAGCCATTAGTAATCGACGAGTTGGAGGCAAAGAAAGAGAAGTCGAAAAAGGTAGGATCTAATATTTTGTATATCTTGATCGTTCCGTAAATTTAGAAGGAACTCAGAAGTCCAGAAAGGACTTCAAAGTGATTTAAATGTCTATGCTGCAAAACAAGTTGGGTGAGTGAAGAAAAACTATTTTTTGCTATAGTTGTAAAGCTGTCTCTCAACTATCTTTCGGCGCCATGTTTGATGTTAGTCAACTCGCACCAATCTTCAAAGATGGAGATGTCAAAAGTGCATCGATGATCCAAATGTTTTGCTTCTAGAAAAAGTTCAATGCGACCCAAACTTGTGAGAAAGAATTTTTAGGGTAAATAGACCCAATAATGTAGCCGACTGCACGGGAAGGAGATGGTTCGCTCGTTTTCGAAGTGGCAGCTTCGGCATCCGAGGCAAGGCACGTTCAGGTCGACCCTTTAGCTCTGAGGACGTTGAGATTCTCATTCGAAGTCGATCAAAATACACGTATTAACCTTCGCCAAATTGCGGAAAAAAAGAGGAGAATCTAAATCAAGGGGTCAAAGACAGCGAGCAACGATTACGTCAATTGAGCAGACATCTGGGCCAACCATCAACTGATGAACCGTGTTCGCACAGCCGACCATCTTTTGAAATTGAATAAGAAGAACCTTATAGTTGTGTTGCTAAGATAATAACAGTAATGAAAGGCGTAGAGTTTACGCTAAGGTTTGTTAATAGCGAGGCGTAATAGTGTCCTTTGAACGAGAATTAAAGCCGAGCCCTATACAAAAAAGGCAATGCTACGCATTCAGGAACGTGTTTTTTGAAATTTTTAAACAAGACATTAATTCAGTTAAGTACTGTGAACAGCTCGACCGTGCAAGGTAAAGTATCGAAAAAATGCGCTCACATATGGCGAATACAAAAGGAGTCGCATTTTAACATAAGAACGCGAACTCACACATCTTTAATGATCTGCCCAAAATACCCGCCCGAAATGATTCGTACAATTTTTGGCCGGTTGACCTGACCTGGCTCATAGCCCCAACCTTGCTCCTTCCAATTATTTTTTCCGGTCCTTGCAGCACCCTCTTAATGGGAAAAATCTTATATCTTGGTAAGATGTAAAAAATATTGATCAATTTATCGAAAAAAAGTTCTGGAAAAATATAAATGAAAACACTGCCTGAAAAGCAGGCGGAAGTAGTCGCTAAAAACGGATAAAGGGTTGTTTGGGTTTAAATACGTACAGTTCGAAACGAACTTACAGGACGGCCCAATATTGTGTAAGTATAAATATATTCAATTAAGTGTTGAATACTGTATAAAGTAGAATAAAATCGTCAGCATGAAACGTGTTCTTATTGCCTCCCAGTATTTTGTTGTAAAAGTAAGCATCATATGAAATTTATACATGGCCTCTGGAAAACACTGAATGGTCATGGTGCCTGCTGAACTTCTAAACTTCCACTAAACTCTCTATTAGTCATCTCTAATTAATATAAACATCAATAATAAGATTGAGGACTCAGAAGGCAATAAAGCAATTGCTTATTCCATTTGTGAAATTTAGACATTACAGGAAGAAATCTAATGCACTAATGATGCAAACTACGCCGTATCGTCTCGGTAGCTGTCTTTACCTCTTTCAAGATGTTTCACTTTTTTCAGGAGTTTAATCAGACATATGTCACGCGGGTGTTAAAATATTGTATTTAATCTAGTGGAAGAAACCTAATTCTTTTGAATTAAAGTTGCTCTCTAGGCTTAAGGAAAGTTGTGGTAGACCCCTGTTTTACAAGATGTCAAACTCCGGCAAATACCTTATTTTGGGTTTTTGTGTATTGCATACTAGGGTATTTTTTCAAAGTACCCTGAAACTAATTAACAAAATTACATGACAAAATGAGGTGCACAGATAATACGTGTTGTTTTTTTTTGTGTAGCTAAATTCTTCTAAATGGCGGCTGAGTGCGCATAATGGTGACGGAACATCCGACTTGCCCTGAAATACTACAAAGTTGCATATGCCGTATTGCTGATCTGTTGAATGACGTAGCACAACGTATTATTTCAAATTCTAAATTAACGTATAGGTAGGAATCCATGAATTACCTGAGGTTTCTATCTAAAAAAAATAAGCGTGGAGACAAAAGTTGAAGTTGATTTTGCTACTACCTTCATAGGTTTTCTAACTAATAAACAAAGTATATTATCAATGAAATCAAACTGCCTAGTTGTTTAAAATTTTTCAGCTTAAATAGCGTACTTATTACGATAGTTAATCGTAATTATTTTAAGAGGTCTATCGGCTTAGATTTACAGAAAAAACTGGTATAATTCTGAACGACTCTTTAAATACAAAAAAAAAACATCGGAGAAACCTTGCAGAGGAATACCTACATTCTTTGTCAAAAATAGCCAGAAGTGCGCTCGTTTTATCAGACGAAATCAGTGGCATGCGTCTATATGCCGAGGGATACATTTTCCTTACAGGACCCCATCTTAAAATCGTTCATCGGCATTAAAATCCATCCAATTGGCCCATTACAGATTATGGAAAAAGAGGCTCATTCCGTGATCAACCATGGTATTATTTAGTTGCCCCAGCTCTAAAGGACATATAGTTTCTAAAAAGGCTCATCAATCGTGCGGCTCTGAAAAGATGCTATAAATATAATTGCCGAAGCCAAAGAGTTTGTCGGTAACACGAGTATTTTTTAACAAGCCGGTTATCATTTACGTATGGAAATGAAAAAAGACAAGTTCATATCAGGTGCAAAAACGAGTTAACAAGTTGCGGTTTTATCGTCCGGACCTTCAACTGTACGTACTGATTACAATCTTTTCAAGTAAAGCTGTAAAACCGCTAATGATGTTTCTGCAAATACAGATATTGAAGACAACGCCTTATTCTCCATCCTTCTTTCACTTTCCATAACGCAACAACAAGTTTTATAAGAGCTGCTGGTGAAGAAAAATTAACTTTTTGATTTTAATGATTTTCACGCCATTCAGTATTTCACGCATTGATTCATCGGTTCAGTATGTACCAGCACTGGTGTCGGTGTTGTATAATCCCCAAATTTAAAACGTCATTCCATATCTAGTGTAGGACAACATTATACGGACGGTATTCAACATAAACATTTAAAAAATGCCATCGGCTTAAAGTCGGTCGGGTGACGCTGTTTAATGTTTCCGCTCTGGAAAGTTATCTAGTGAGTATAGGAATGGAACGCTCTTGACTGCCGGGCTATCAAGATGGCCCAACACAAACTTTAGTCGTGGAGAAAAATCACGAAGAGAGGTGTCTGCTACAAGCTGCTGTTCTGCTTAAAAATCAAACAACTGACTACTATTTAACAGCATGCGTTCAGAAAATGGCATTCCACAGCAAAAATATCTCGAACTCTTCTGGAGGGCATCAGCGAACCTTACAGGTCAGGAAGTAGCATTTATGTGACGAATTCATTGACCCCAGGCCTTCTTTCGGCTTCTTGCCGAGAGGCACATCTAACCTTGTGTAACTCTTTCGAACGTGCTTAGTTTCCTAGCGACAATAATGACAAGCATAAATAATGACAGGAGATAATAACGAACCTTGCAGACTAAAAGGCTCGCCGCTTGATAGCGGCTGACAGTAAGGTTCAGACGTAGGGTACGGACAGTGGGACTGTACACTTGTTAAGTGTTGCCTTTTCTTACATCAGCAAATTTTTTCACCTGTTTAACTCCTTCAATGGCAAAAAATCACTTCATATGCCACAGATTTATATAGAAAAGCCCTGTTAGCGATAATTATTAGACACCCCCGGCGTCCCGTTCCATTTTAAAATAATCTCTAAAATAACGCATAGATCTCCCTCGCTAAAACTATTTCATATGACGTTAAGCCTCTAGCTAAGCCACAGAGAAAGAGGGGCAAATATTCCATAAAGCAACTAAATCAGATGATAGCATCTTATCTGAAACAAGTAACGAAACTTTACCGAGGTACACGAAACCGGCAAATTAATTTTATTGTGTATGGTTTCTACCGCAGATTAATCCTGATCCATAAGTTCCACAAAACGAATTGCTAATACACTAGATATTAACAACACAAGGGTTGTATGGTAATTTACTGATTTACTGGTGTTTCACAGTGCGTCATAGCTCCTAGGTGATGCTTCATGTGTGCTACTCGCAGACTGGTACTTTGAAATACCTACACTTTTTAACATATTCCTCCTTCACTGTATTACAATCAATGATGCTGTAAAATACGTTTACCATACAAAAAGTATTTACTAGAACTGCAATAGCAAAGTTAGTAAAGGACAACAAAAAAAGCCTACTTTCTTATTGTCTATGCATCCGACGATGTTTTAGCATACACTAGTTTTACTAACTATCGTTTTGGCTGCAATACCCAAGTTTGTTCCTACTGCTGTGTTTGAGAAACCTTGTGCTCTCATTTATACATATGATTTTACGTGAATTATTGCATTGACTGTGGGGTACTCTCACTATTATCACCATTATACATTACAATTTCCTTTTTTCGTTACAAGGATTCTATATTAGCATGGTCTTTCGGTTTAAGATGTGCTATGGTAGCTCTGGTCGAATATATTGGGCGAACGATCACCATGCTTGTGACACAGATGGCTGCGCTGCAGGAGTCTGCGAAGTAATGACAACAAGTGTTTGTTGAACCGATGTAGTCTCTAGTGAACGCAAGGTTATCTCCATCTGCAGTTCGCTGTTTTGGTGCATCATTGGTTCGAAAATTTTTGCTACATATTTTGAGTAAGGTCTGTGTTTCGCTCCGAAAGTTTTTTTAGAGTTGTAACTCGTTTGTTGCACTATTACCCAAATGATGTAACTACAAAGAACTACATCAGTGATATCAATGGCTAATACCTAAAGTTGTTTGGTATATATATATATGAGGGTATATATAGTGTACAGTGAGGTTTTTATCTTTTGTACGGTTTATCTATAATATGTAGCAGGCATGTGCTTGATTTATGATTCTTACAATAGAATGTATTGTCTGCCTTTATTTTAGAGCTTATTTTCAGATTTTATCAAATCACAAACTTATATAAAATACTTGTTTCATTCCGCAGAGAAATGTCTGTCATTTGATGAAAGCAATCGATCGTACAGATGTACTTATCGCGAGTTAAGTTAGCTCTACTTAGTCTCACTGCGCCATCTTAATATGCTAGATATTGCCAACAAAAGAGCGATATGGTGACTGACCGATTTATTAGTGATCGATAACGAGCTGCCTGAAATATGTCGATAAGCTATGGTCTATGTATAGTGTGTTCAGACATTTTGAAACAACTATTTCTCGTAATACGAACGACCGCTGGTTTTGTAAAATGTGAAACACCTTGTATTCAGTACAACCACATATCGTCGCCCCCTCGCCTACTAACGAAAATCAGTAAAGGATGATGATTCTATGCAAATTAACATTGTACAAATAATTTCATCTATATAAATTATTATATTATAGCCTTACACAAGTTTCCGGTTTTGGTTATACGTCATTGGTATGGTTTAATTACATGTCAATGTGCACATAAGTACTCAGATATGTGTATTTCCATAAGTGTAAATCTATTTTCTCTGTTAAACTTTACTTTTTGATAGGAGGGTTATACAATGCACAGCTCTTCAGCAGTAATTTCGGTTATTCTAAATGAAATTAAACATAGAATCCACTTAGGGCCATATTCGGCCATATATCGAGAATGTAAGCTATGTCAGTGTCAACCAAATCAGTTAAGGGTTGCATAGATTATCTGCAAAGCTCTCACGAAATGGTTCTTGCAGCCGAAAAATTAGAAGCCGAAAAGAACAAGAAGCAAGTAGTTAGTTTTACATGTTGATATAAAAATGTCATACGAAATATGGGTATCGCGCTTGCTCGTTCTGAGCAATAGCTGTTTTGTGTCTTGGGTTTATCATTGAACGACCTGCATCCCAAAAGTGCGATTCGGGCCGGTGTTGTGCGCAGCGGATGACTGGACTTCGCCCATTATCACACTGCATTATTGCTTTTTAAACCTGCTAAGAGGAAACTCGAGAAGGTAATGACGAAAATCGTATTCCAGTACTTAATTGTACTTAAATTGGAAAAATTTTAGTTGATGACTGCAAAACATGCAAAACCCTAGTAAAAAAAAAACAGCTGCTTTGCTTATATTTTTTTTTTCAATTTACAGCTGATGTTTGAGACAATGTAACGATCAGTGCTTGCATGTTTCTTATGACTAAACGTTTAGGTACAAATTCAACGATACAAATTGCACCAAATTCCACCTATACATGCGTCTTAAAAAACGTCAGATATTTCATAGAATTTTTCATTGTAATAAGAAGAAAGAGGGGTTATATACCCCCTGTTTTATAAAGTGTCATCACATACCTATTGTTAAACGAAAATAGCGCCTGTGTTCTGATATCAACTGCCGTATATTCTTTTACGCAATATATTTTATAATAAGTAAAGTATAGCTATTTCAGAAAGTTTTTTTTCAGTATCTATGATTATAGATGCACATTTGAATCTACACACTGAAAGCAGACGTGAGAGATATATTTGTCCGCAAAGGTTGATTCGTATCTCGTGCTTCTAACTACTTTCTCTGCGAAGGAGAAATAGCTAACCGATCTTCTAGGTAGATTTGTAGTTATGGACACAAGCGCGACTTGTTTCTATAAAAGTTTAGGATATAAATACATCCGTATTTCAAGTGATTAAAGCCCATTAAGTGCCGTGAAGTTGGAGAGTCGACCGGAAAGCTTGCGGCTGCTATTTTTTGTAGGAAACAGTAGGGTCACGGTTAGCTATTTTGTCAAGGACAGGAAGACAACGCGTTTTAATGGTGCATTGTAAGAATTAGCATAATCCAGAGAAACTTCTGTTATGCATTACGTAAAACCTATGCACGTTCCCCTTGTTTGCAAAAACCCATTCAACACCGTATTATATTGATTTCTATAGCTACATTCGTGGAAGCGATACCAATAGCTGTTATTTTTTTGCGATAAATATTTAGTTGCTGCATGCACTACTTTAAATACTTAATAGAGACAAAAATTGGTTAAATGGGCATAAGGCATAAACCTACAAAAATCATTCGTATTTTACAAAAACGTGTTCTTAGACCCTTACTGCCAGATTAGTAAGTGGCCGCGATATCGTTGCACAGTTTCCCAAGGTGTATCTTTGAGAAAAAAGCAGTGGCATATCCCCCTATGCCTAGAATTAAGTAAAGAAAAATCAAACACTGGATGTGAATCGTGCTAATTGCAGGCAAGAGTCTGACAAACTAACCATACGCTTAACAGCCGAAAATATAAAAAAGATTTTAATTGCTAGAGAAAAACGTCAGCACAACAGCTTTTTGATTGGTTTATACCCTGAGCAAGTCTATACATAGACATAGTCGTACGATGACAACTTTGTAAAGCTGAAGGAAGCGAATCAACTTTAAATGGGCGTTCGGAACCAACACGAAAGCTTATTGTATAATTTGAGCTTTCGGTTTGCATCCAAAACTGAGCTGGATAGAACAGTTTCATTGGACATTTAGTTGTATAAGATTCATGTCACTGCAGTGCTAAATACTTTTGTGCCAGTATTTTGAGATATTTCTAATTTTTTTGTTTGATTTAAAGTAACAATAACAGTATCTCAAGAGTAGTTCATAACATTTTCTGTCTAGACATATCACCCCTGCACCTGAACTATGAAGAGAGCGAATAGGTATGATTCACTGGAGTTTCTACTGGTATAATTTATGAGAATGAGGTGTGTTCATTAACTATTACATATATGCATTGATGTAAATATAAATCGGCATACAAAACCTGAAAGTCGTATTCGTAGCAAACAATACAACAAGATATCTGTAGCACGGCATTCACCCACACAAAAACTTTTTAGGTTCTGCTGACAAAAGATAGCTATATTAATATTCATTAATCATAAAATAATTACAGAGCCCTATATATCTATATCTTTTTAGGCTTTTGCTTCCAAATCATGAATTTTGTGCTATTTTGTAAACAAAAATGAGGCATCCCGATGAGACCGGCCAACATTTTTATGTAATATAATTTTTGCTCAAATCTGTGGTAGAACACCAGGCGACATTAAGATGTGGACTCATTAATCAGTTAATGGCAATAAATGAAAGCAAGTTGTGAGGTTATTATAAGTGGAATTTTATTATATACATCATAGAATATTAGGCAATAGGTTGTTATGTTGATGTTTTAGATGTCTCACTGTACCAGTTCTCTTTTTCGCGCCAGATATTTCACTTTTCTTTGTTGTCGAACGAATCTTGCCCCTGGAAGTCTTCTTTTGTGAAGTCACATCACCTATTATAGGTAAAATGATGCAAATATAACACATTATTCATAAATAAAATTGTGCACGATAATTATATTTGTGGATCAAGGGGTGTTTGTCGGGAGCTGGTTGAGATACTAAGCTAAGGAACTCACCACAGAGGTAAAGGTAAAAAGATCGGTGTGAATTGAACCCAAGGAACGCTAATTCCTTTCAAATCAAATAGGACATTCCCTTAAAAGTGAAATATTTCACTAATAAGAAAACAGATTTTTATTTAATGAGCTCCCTTGTTACAATGGTTCAATGCAAACCTTATATAGAGACAACTAACTTTAAGTTAGCTCAAAATGCAACGTGTTTTTATATATTTGCGACGCACCCGCTGGTTGTACTCGAGGTCCCACTTTGGAACGCTTAAGGGTGATGTTGGCTTTCGGACATGAAGTTGTACTTCCACATGGAACGAATTTGTCAATTTGAGCTAAAATAGAATAACGAAACAGATGCAATGTTATGATGACTGACACTTTTTTCGTTTAATTACAGGGTGATCATATAAGTTAATCGTATTCGAAATATTTATTTCTATACTGAACAGAAGTAACAGTCAGTGGCTTATGATCTCTAACATAAATCTGCACTCAACTTGCAGTTGTACACACTGTTTGATGCGCGGTCACGACACGCATGACAAAATCAAGAGATTTGAGTTAGCTTTTGTTTGTGGCAATCGTTAATCAAGGGTACTATCTGTGGTCAGTTTTGCCATGAAGACCACTCAGAATAAAAGAAGACGAGTAACTCAATCATAAGCCTATAATACTTTGATTATCATTGTCCAAAAAACTACTAAAAAAGTGATGTAAGTACTGGCAAATAAGAGCTTTATTAGCGAAGAAACTAGAAAACAAATATATCACAATCTGTGTAGGAAAGGCCGAAAGAAAAAATACTTGGATTAGCTGCAGAACTTATCAAGCAATACATCAGGTAATATAAATGAAGTATTTTAATCATTTTGAGAAAATACGGGTGTTTTGTGCGCGATGTGAAGCTATATATTCAATTAAACGATGCTTTTTTATATTGAATTTTTTTGAACTTCGATCATAGTATAATTCTAAGAGTTTTATTCTGAAAATATTGTGAATGCGATACATTGCACAGCAAACGTTGACAATAGTTGTCGAGTTCATAAGGTACTAATCTAATCTGCTATAAATCATTACTGTGGGATTTCAGTGTTTGTTAAAAGAATTGAGAGAACTAAATTATGCTGGAATTATTTTTAGTTTCTAAATCCAAGTAAAAACAAACTATTCCTCACTAACGCTGACTGAGTGCCTGATTCATATATGATTAAATCATAACGACACTTCCAGTTTTGTTTTTAATCATATTCTGTTAACTTCAAGATGTCAGTTTATCTACTTTTGAATAACCAGTATAGTACAACAGTATGTCTCAAGCATCGATGATAGTGGGTCTCGTTAAAACGGGACAGCGCATTATACTAGAGCAGCGGTACGTCAGGATTTTAAGTATTACCTCAGCATCTGCACTCTTACTCATAATTTTTTTTGTTTTGTCAAAGTATATCAGTTGTAATTTTACTGCCAGACCATAACTGTGGCTGAGAATGTGACATAAAATTTCGGTTTGTTCCTTTTAGAGTTGCACTACACAGAGCTACGGTAGCTCGTAATAAAAAGTAATCTGACCTTATAACGGTTCTTGCAGGTACTAGATGTAGAGTACTCGGATAGTAGTGTGTAGATTGGGCAGTAGAAATAATTCTGTAATGTTACGTCACTCACCTCGCTGTTCTTGACTAATATTTGTTGAGCATTATACTATAGTTTTAGTACTTTAACACTTTGTACTCGGCTCGCATGGTTGTCGTTTTTGTGAAGTTGTAGTAGAACAAACATTTTTTAAAAATTTGACACTTTGTTGCAAAATGTGATTTATTTTCCCCACTCGTATGTCCGCTCATCACAATATTACTTTTTGCTAGTTTTTTTAACGAAGACATTCGTTAAAAAATAAACGTACCATCATCGACTTTAGTTGCTCATAAAATGCAGACCCGTTGGCAATGTAGGTTGCAAATATCAATACTTAAATTATTTACGAGCTATTTTGCTTGGCATTACGAGAACCGTCCTTGACAAGCTGGGCTTTTTTTAACTTTCATTAGCGCATAATGATTTCCTGGCTTGCTGATATGGTGGAATGGTGTGTATGTGCAATGAGAGCCCAATGCGCAGCAACGCGTAACTAGAATAGATATCATTAAAAATTAAATCAAATTTCGTGGGTACGATTACATTTTTCACCGAGCAGATAGCGTTTGAGCCAGGATATCAGTGCTCAGAGATTTTAGCTTTGTACGATAAAGTTTTCTGATGTGTTTTCTAAGTATGAATATATAGATATATAAGATGTAATAGAGGAATAAAATATACACGTATACAGTATACACGTATGTATAGATAGTAAAGCGAAGCCAATAAATGTGAAGCGCTCGTTGCTGCTGGGCAACGATAAAAATAAACCATTTTGCTTCAGCGGCGGAGAGCAGCAGCGGAATGAACAAAATCACGAAAGAGTTGCTCAAACGCCTAGGTAATTCGGAATCGCCCCTACTGAAGTTAGACAAAAGGAAACTCAAGCGTGCTCTGAGAAGTACGAGCGGTTCACGAAATTATACAAATGTCTATCGAACTAGGACGTAAAGCAGGCGCGTAGTGGCACAATTAGCGCAAAGAAGACATGGAAGGGCTTTCTTTATATTGTCTCCGAAGAAGACTGTCTCGCCTTAACAGTTCGAAATTAGGAAAACTGGCAAAACGTTGAGTACAAAGTCTACGCTAACTGGATGTGAAGTACGATATATTCTTCGGAAGCATCCAACGAACAGCGAGATCAGCACCTTTTGCCAACCTATTACGCAATGAGAGCAAAACGTGGAGTTACTGCGATTTGTACGAGACTTTATACCGAAAGAATTTATTACTTCTCAGCTGAAGCGTCATGAGTAAACGATTAGCTTGACATTATGCTTGTTATTATTATTATAATAGGTTTGACGACGGGAATGCAGCAGAATCAACCAACCAGCTTAATCGCCATAAATCTCTACAATAGTGTCGACGTCGGGGCACAAATTGGCAAGCTATCTTTGGCTGGTAATCTCTGTGCTGCGAAGTAGACTGGTTTTTTACTCAGGTAAGGCACCCTTACCGTTCCGGTACAACTTGAAGTCAATACTAGTGCCACCATCTTTGATAACTTGGTTTTTGATTCGCATTTGAAGACAATGGAATCCTGCCCGACACCTGTTCAAAAGGATCACGAGGTCTACCTAGCGCAACGTTGTTGTTGTTGAAGCGCACAGGCTTAACTTTTTCGTTTACGTGAAAACAAGCGCTTTGTAGAAGCTTGCTTTGCGCTTTAACTGTAGTTGATCCAATAGAACTTGGCCACACTTATCCGAGCGGTCCTCGTCTTACGACCACTATCCCTTCCAAGGCATTTATCCTAGCCGATTAGCTGATAAACAAATATGTATGTAAGAAAAAGATACGCAGCGAGCTTTTAAGGTTTAGCTTCGTTAAGTAAATATTAGTTACAAGACTAAAATACTACTGAACTATATATGTACGATCATTTCATTCTTTTTGTAACCGTAAGTTTCGTAACCGAAATACAAGGCTATATACGATTATCTCATGCAGAACTTTGCAATCAGAAAACTGCAAACTGCCATGGAAGTACCATGTAAGTGCCGAAAAAACACTGTTCAAGAAGGAAATTGTCATATTTTTAAGTCCAGATAATAACTAAAACTTAATTTGTTTTAAAAACAGTGCTGCTAGCATTCGTTTAAGATTTACTTTATCGATGTATGGGTTGACTATTGACAAGCTCCATGCGCACATAACGAGTCTTTTTTTGATTGAAAGGCGACCCAAATCCAGGCCAGTCGACTTATTTCCTCTTCTTTGCAATTCTTTAAGAAAAAATAGTACGTACCTTTTTGAAGACGATGAATCGTTAGACATGGCCTACCAAGACAAAATACCTCTGTGATTCCATGGTTCTTGACGTACACAAAAATTTCATTGTTGTCGATGAACTGCCTGTTCACAATTGTCCTCCAATAAACTGATCGATGTTTCCACGAAGGAACGACGTTGGTAGCCCGAGCCATCAGTGGTTTTGTTAATAAAGCTACAGAAAAGATGAGAACAGAAAAAGCACAACATCCGAATGCACTAGGAATAACAGCGATTAAAGGCTTTCTTTCAGACTACAACACACCGTCTCACTCTTCAATGAATGTCACAGCAAACATTCATGAATTAAGGTTCGGTTTTTTTGATTACCCATCATATTCACAAAGTCTGGACCCCAAGTGACTTTCTGTTTCCTAGACTCGCAAGTTTCCCTCGAAAGCCAGAAATCTTCATCGAATGAGGAGTCATTATATTAGTAAACGTATTTTTTGCTAGCTAAAATGCCGATTAATAATTGCATGGACAGACGGATATGTGAGAAAAGTGTATAGATTACTGTGCTATGTTTTAGCGAAGATTCGGAGCAATATTAGCCCTATCAAGCAGTTTTACATCCTTGAATTAGCTGGGTATCAAAAAATGTTTTGATCAATTTTAATAAACGTTAGGAAACTCCGAAGAAATAAATAAAATAAACGAAATTTTACAATTGCAATAGAATTTCACGATATTTTAATACTGTAGGAGAATTTTATCATGTGACATTTATGCATTACTAATAAGGTTTTTGTCATATATGCTTCAATGGACTGCTTATTGGTGTTATTTATTCTGCGTATTATTCTTATACATGAATATCTGCTATTCGTGGCCAGTCTTCTCAATAATATAAGTAATTTGTGATAGTTATAGAAATAAAAAGCTTATTAATGAATATACTTATGCAAAAATGGGGCCAAATGTCCATACCCTGCTGTACAACAACGTATAGGATTTTACAGTACATTATAAAGCTACTGCGTCTTCTGTGGAATTGTTAGAAGATGTGATTGTCTTATAATTACGGATGAGAATATAAATGCACTGTAGAGAAATAGGATGGCGAAAATGATAATTGTGAAGAACGTATCGTGGTTTCTCTACGATAGAAATTTTTCAACAGAAATCACTTCTTAGTAAAGCACATAGGTCTTTATCATCTTTTGGGGCACGCACATAATTTATTGCCGAATAGAATCATGTCCCCCCCCCCCGTTTGGGAATCGCTCGAATAGACGATGATTTACTTTATGTTCCAGCGCACCAGCTCGCTGTGCCTAGCATATTCAACACGCAAACCAGTACAATCGCCAGTGCCGCCAGCCCTGGGCGCATGCCACTATCGCATACGGCGTAATCCATCGCCTAAAACCTCTAGGTGTTTAAAATATGATATTTTCGGTGGCAGCATAGCCCTTCCACTCTCCGTAAAACGCTCCACCTCGACATTTATGCTTACCCTTTAATTGCCTACAACTCTGTTACAACTTAGAGTTGCGTCAACATAATTAACGATGCCAATAGTTGTAGCCGCGACGCATAAATACCGCTGATAATTAAATTTATTGCAGCAATACTTCATCTTTAAATACTGATAGTGACGAAAATACCTAGAAGCCAATAAATTTTGGTTTGCACAACATCTTAGGTTAGGTAATAGGTTCATTGCAATAGCGTGCTATTACGATATTATGTCGCGAACGCGATTTCAACCTAAAAGAGCCCTTCGAAAGACGATATCCCAGATGAAAATGTTTTTTCAACACCCTTTGTACTATGCACTTCGTCGAGGCTAAAACTCTGCCGAAGCACCCCAAGACATCTGTTTTCTATACACACAATTGCGCCGCTACTGAAAGGACTGCTCTAGAGTGGTTTGATGTTTTCGTGAGCTAGAATATGGCCCTTGCTTGAAGACGATCATTTAGAGCTATCTGACGGCCTGCAGACACAGATTTGTAGTTAACTACCTAAAATCCCTTAGTTTCTTAAAGCCTAAACAGACTTAGAAGCTTGTGCACCTCAAGAACTCCGAATCCAACAAAAGATTGCATCTTGGCATCTTGCCCGCTATCGACATCATGAAACCATGACCGATCTTTGCGCAAAACGGTCATCGGTACTGGAAAATGACGTCTTCCCGTCAACATGAACTGTTGATCAGAATTGGTGGCTTCCCGAAAGAAGCCAAGGCATTCCGTGCCTTAGTTGAACTGATTCGCAAAAACCAGACAGTTAATTACCATTTTTACTTGGCTCACTTGCGTCGAATTAATGACACCATTCGGGAAAAAACATTCGACAAGGTTACTTCATCCTGGTTCATGATAACACACCTCGCAAAAATCATCGAAACTGCTCGAGTTTCGAGCAAAGGGTTTCGTTGTACCCTCTATATCCTCAGGACCTTGCACCGCCAAGTTTTTTGCGTTTTTATATACTTGAGAGTCACCTTCGTGACCTTCGGTATGAATCAACAACCCGTTGTTGGAAATCTTTTTAAGACGAAACTTACTGCCTTCTGTCGAGACAATATACATTATTAATGGTAAATTGAGGGAACAATATGGGAGATACATGATGTAAATAATAAAATTATATCTTTTCTATCCACCAAGGTCTCTTGGATCCCACCGCTGCCACCAGATTTATAACAATAACAAGGTTCGACTACAAGAGGGTTTTACCCACAGCCAGCTGAAACCGGAAACGCATTTTTTGTATTTACCTAAAATGTATATAATTTATTTTCACATATATATAATAATTACTCTACATATCTATACCACTCTTTAAAGAAGGGAAACAATAATGCAAACTTAAACGCCGTTAGTGCTTGTTTTTACACTAACAAGTAGTTTATTATATACGTATTACATACTTATGTATGCGATATAAACTTATTATATACTGGAAGGTTTGACACAACGGGTTGCAGAAATACAAGTTGAGCCTAACTATTGTTATTTGATACATTTTGCTTAAATAAAACGTGAATATTGCGGACGAAAATATTTTCTGCACAATATAAAGTTATCGGTATTTTTTCTGCTGGTCGATGAGATGCAAAACCGGTGTAACGGCATCATACATACGAAAATAATATACTTATTTTAAAATGTTTATATGTATTCAGCTGCTAATTATCCACACCCAGTGCGCACCAATAATGGATTTACTCGCTACCGTTAAGGCGACGGATACAAACAAATTGAATAAAAACTAGAACTTATGAAAAGCCATTGTGCGGGGCCGCACTGAACACAGTGGGCTATTGTATAAACAGTTCACCCTACTTTGCTGTTTTAATGACTACTGGAGGGTTTTGCTGTCAATTTTATTAAATATGAAATATTTATCTCTGTAGAAATAAAAAAATAATTACATTTATACTAAACATAACTTGAAATAACCGTTTTTCTCTCTTAGGATTTTTGTCGTTTTAAACTCTCTAACAGTTTTTTGAATTTTCATTTAAGGGGACTCTTGAAAAACCATTTGGATTACTTTGGGCTTTGTTCTGTGATATTTCCTTATTGAATGTAGAGACAAAGTTGCCTAACACTGGAGCTTTTAGTTCTAATCCTTTCGGATCCAGGCCATACAAATGTGAATTAAGTATTTGCAAAGATATCATTGCAGAAAGCTATGAATGGCGATCTTTTGTTTCACTGCTTTCTGTAAGGAAAAAAGATCTGAGTTTTTCATAAGGATGATTAGCGACCCTTTCTTAAGTTGTAGATCATCTTGATCATCCGATCATGGTAGTAGTCGAATCGAGAAATTCAGTAGGGAAATGCGTGTCGTTAGTATTCTTCGCTACTTGATTAAAAGAATTATATTCCTTGAGATCTCCAGGGTATCATTCAATGCACGTATTGTTAATATTTCGGACCATCCTGTCCTCAGGTTCTAATATACATTTCTAGCAGGATTTTCCATAAGATTTTCGAATCATATCGCACGCTGTATGGGCACATCCGGCCCATGCAGATTTTTGTTTTAATAGAACGTTTTCCCCCCCAGCCTAATCTTTAAAAAGCATCTTTAAAAAATTCTGTTCACTGACGCCTAAAGAAAACTGGAATCACTCGACGTCAGCTTTGTTTAGTCGCATATTGACGGCTGACTTGTAAATTCTAAAGTACTTACAACTTTTTGATACAAGCGTCTTTAGTACCGAGATTAGTATTTCTTGACTATAAGAAGCCGCAGTCAAGATTCCTTGAATTCATCTTTGTTGCATATATCGCAAAGTTTTCGCGAGGCTTCGAAAGCCTCTTCTCTAAACATAGGGCATTCGTTTCAGACAGTAAGTGCTATTGCGTAAAGTTCTCTTTAATCCTTATTTAAAAGGGCTTCGTTGGTGCATAAAATTTCCGTTCTTCTCATTCATGTCATATCGAGATTACTTTTGGAGATCGATGTTTTTGTTTTCTTAGTATTCATATTGGGAGACTGGCAAATTGAAGTCTTGTAGCTTTAACATTAAGGACTTCTATTTTGACCTGAACGAATGTAAGGGCTTTCTCGTCATGTACGTTAGTAATAGGAAGAGTACTGTTATTCTTCGGTAGTCGGTCTTCACGGTGATGGCTTTAAGCCATTATATACATAGCCTTGAGGTCTAATAGGTTATGGTTTCTCCCGCCAGAGATCATAGACGTATCGCGAATCGCCTGAGACATGGAAGTTCGTTTAGTGCCTTTTGTTATAATCACCGTCGAAAAGTAGTTCTTTGAGCAAACAAATGTTTTTTTTTAATGCTGTAGGGAAAATGCCTTCATACATTTTCAGTAGGTAGAACATTATTAGTCGACAAACATTATTGAATAATTAAATTAACTAATAGATTTCCCCTTAACGTGGATTTTCTGTGTATGAACGCAATAGCACATTTTTTAATAGAACGGGAAAATTTTGAACTTTTTGGGTTTCTTTTCTTTTGTTCAACTTGTTGGCCCAGATGAATACACTAAGGTTGAGCATTGTTTCTTGAAAACTCACCACGGTTTTTCATTGGTTCCAACTAGTTGGGCGGAAGTACTTTCTTGGAATACACTTGGTGTCTCTGAAGTGTATATGCAGTTTTTCAATGGATGGGTATCGTGAAGCACCGGTAAGCTGAACATTTGGGCAACGGTTTGATATTATTTTACTATTCTTGAATTTCGTCTGTTTTAAAAATCGCTTCGTCGTTTTATTTATTTGATCGATGAACATATTTGAAGCTTAAAATAGCCGTTGAGCATCATCCGAAGTGATCTAATTTTATGATTTAGACGTTGTTGGTTTTCCTTGTGATCTACGAAACCTTTCACTTCTATGGAGCGTCATCTATATGTGATAATATATGAATCTTTACCATTGCGCCTACGTTCAATATGTGGCTTCAGGTATCTTTTCGAGTATTGACATTATTTCATATAAAGCGAATTGGCGGTGTGATTCGGCCAGGAATGAGTTTAGGAACCGATATATGAAATTCCAGACCTGCATTTGGATCCAAGGTTTCAGCTTGCATATATGTATCGCAGTTTTGTGATCAAAGCTCCTTCGTTAAGAGACAGCAAAATGAGGACATATAGAATTGCTTATTTTTTAATCCTTTAGTGACCAAGAAAGCAATAACATTGCCGAATTTCGTCATCAGATGTTTCATGACATTTTTTAGTTAAAACATTTTTTCGATGACGTCTGGTTGATCTTCTGGTTATCAACCTTCGCTAATATGGTCTACGGTATCTGGCCTGTGTACACTGCATGTCAGCGCCAGGTGTAGTGACGCAATTTTATGCCTGCGAATGTATATCATAGCATTCTTTGATGTTTTGCCACGTATTTCGGTCCGCCTTTTAGTGCAGAGTATAAGGAGCAAAGGTTTGCCAATTTTTACAGATTCGTATTCGCTACTTACGGCTACCACTTCCTCTTTGTAATTGATTTTACAAGCCTTAATTAAGTTAAATGGGCGACAAATTTTCTAACTTAATTTTCATAGCCTATAACGAGATGTTGATGAAAGAGAAAACGTACTTGCAATGGATGACTTTCATGTATCCGGATATCGAATCAAATCGCCGTAACTAAACGGTTACCTGGCCTTTAATTGACATAACTGCTCAGCCAAGATTTGCCTCACCTAATTAAATAGACCGATACATCACGAACAAACATAAACCTTGCGTTAAATAATCGTTTAAAAATTCACTGGAGTTCTTCCAAAAAAAGATAAGCTCTAGAACTCGACCTGAATATGCCTGAACTGCGTATCCTTCGTCAGTATAACTTCGCGAACAAACCAGTTGAAGCATATGGTCTTCAACGACGATGTATTCGAAACCGCCTACGTTGCTGTCATCTATTCGTAGAGAGTCTACATCGATGACACCAACGATTGTGCCTTTCTGTTGGCCAAATCCCGACTAGCTTAGAAGAAGACACTTCCGCTGCTACACTTGCAACTGATTGCTGCATTGATGCGGATAAGATTAAAGTCATATTTTACTAAGTGATTAAACTCGATAACATTTTTCACTTCACCGATTCGTCGACCGCGTACTACTCAAATCGTTTTTCTAAAATTTAGTAACGCTCGACGCCGAAGGAATGGTGTTACTTTCAAGGGGACATCGCATTGCCGATATCGAAACGTGTGGTATAGGTGTATTAGAACCTACTGCGAATAAAGAACGATGGTCGGCCCAAAATAGTTGGAACTCCGAGAAGAAAACAAATTTTGCAAAAAATTACGATTCGCTAATGGCCAAAAGAATCGACCGTTGCTTTCGAGCGTAGTGTTATCGTCCTCGCCATCACATATTTCAACCGATTCGGTAGCCTCAGGGGGTGTACACTCAAAATTACAGGGATGGATTTCACTACGTCCGTACAAAAGGTGGAACAGCAAAAAAGCTACGCGGTTACGAGTGTTAGCACCCGACTGTACACTTCTGATTCTTTACAATGTCCGCCTATTTTGGAAGGCTGCCAGCAACCTGAAGAAGCTGTTTAACTCAATTCGTGATTTGATATATCGCGTGAATAGCTTACGTAGCACAAAATCGAATGGTCGTTCAATTCTTCATGGCGAAGCAACTCCATAGAACTCCTGTTCGGAATATTCAAGATTGCGCTAACATATACACTTGGCTGAAGTCTCATTTGCTTTGAAGAACTTTAGACCATTGTTTCCAAATACACCACGGTCATCAACAGTAGCTTGCTCACGTCAGTGACCAATGAACTTAATGCATCTCAAGCAGTCATACTGATCGGCTTTGTTCGCAGTAGCCATTGCCAATTAGCGCTCGCTTTAGCCATGCCGCTCGACAAACTTGGCCTGAATTGCCTCTGCTTAGCTATATGTAGCACTACTTCACCGAACAAGTAATTTTTAATTGCTCTCGATATGATCGTATCACGAAGATGTTCAGCTATAGATTGCAAACATAAACGGCAAAAGAGGTCGCGGAGGATCGTAGTTGTAGATGTGTGCTTGTAAAAAAAAGACAGTGTTCTAAGCAATAAAATTGATCTACCTCGTGTCACCCTAAACGAGACGGCGAAATACGGGCCTATATATAAGTTTTCCAATGGACATTTTATCTTTAATGCGGCACATCTCCTCTGCCTGTTGGAAGTTGTGTGATTGTTGCTGAGAAACTTGATCTAGTCATGTGCAATGACTTATTTCAATTATACTTTTTAATAATTTATCGCAAATACACAATAGGTATTTGTTATAAGACCAATAATATAATAATCTAGCTTTCATTCTTATTACATAATAATTTTATTCTATACACCATTCCGAATTAAACCGCCACTGGATGGTTCTGCTTCGTAATCGACTAAATTTAAATTTTGCAATTCGATAATAGTTAACTTTTTTGAAAATTAATAATAAAATGTGTACATTCGTGGATATAACAAGCTAATCACTTTTGAGAAGTTGAGAATCAAAAATCACTTTTATTCTGCGATATAACGAATAAGATACCAGACAGTGACGCACCTGATGAAAGCAGCACGGTGAGCTCAGGTGCAATTCTCTTAGTATCTCAACCCTCGTCCATGCTTGTTTTCCTATTTCATTGATTTAAATTAACTTTCGCGAGTTATAATTCGATGTGCATGATCTCGCAGTCCGGTTAGTTTTTGTTTTGTGCTGTGCATAATTCACTGTACCAGCTATATTCACTTAGTGAGAACAGTATTAAGCACTGTAGACAATAATAGGATTGATGTGACTGGAAAATTATCTGCAAAAAGTTATCTGTATGTTTTCGTTGTCTCGGCCTCTCGGATCGTCTCGGGGTCGAAGGAAGACGTGTCGCTGTGTTAAACCAAGCTTTATTGCACTTTAACTATTTATTTCCACTTCAATCTTTGATAAAACATTGTATATACTCCTCTGCCTGCCTAGTGGCTCTCGATTAGAATAAATCATGATACGTGCTTTTTGTATCCTTAATATACATTTTGGCCGTTGTTGGCCACCAAAACACTGTTTTTTGTAAAGCACGTTCTATAAATCTTGAACGACAGCACGAAATCTGTGCATTTGAAATTTATAGGCAGCGTTTCTTGCAATCTTGCATATTTATAGAATAAATTTGAAGCATTGGAATTTCTAGTCCTTTCATAGCATCAGGAATCTAAGTCCATGATGAGAAGCACCTTATATAATTAATAACGAATTGTAGGTTATCTCAGGGAAACGGTTTTCAGTGACACCAAAACAAGTCACATGAAATAGACAACTGTATTGTCTGATACTTTTTCGAAAAGCCTCTACTGCTTGTATAATACTTGTGCACAATTAAACCTAGTTCCAGAAGCAGTTACATACCATTAGCTAAATTTTTTCTTGCGTACAACAAATTTGCGTTTTGTCTTTGAAGACGTATATTTTACAGTAATGAAAAATTTTGTCCATCTTGTTAATGTTTGCTGATATATTTTCTCATAGGTGTGTTATTCGATACCAATACCCTTGACTATCGATGCGGCGTTCATTGTCTGTTGTTTGTGTCATTCTGCCTGGAAACTTTTTGTCTTTCGCGATCTGCTCTACATGGTTCACTTGTTTTTTCTGCTATTTCAATGGCGCTCTTTCCTCCCTTCACATCTCAATGGTTGGACGACTGTTCTTGACAATTATCATTTCGGCATAATAGGGCGAGTTGTTAGGGTATATTCTCGGTAGAAACATAACCTGATGGTTTCTTCCATAGTATAATTTAAGCAGCATAAATAGAGCGCATTTATTTTTGCAATACAGATCTCAACATAAATTGAGCGCAGCTGTCACGCAATTTTCATACGAATAATATATCTGCGTAAACAACGCGTGTGGCCGCGTTTGTATTTGTAACTGCTATTGTGGCGTTATTTTTAAACGTGGAAAACAAAAATGAAGCTGTTGCCTCTGGCTGACGACCAACTAAATTAGCTGTACGGGCTGTAGGAAAAACTGACCTTTTCCTTCAGGGAAAAAGTACGTACCCAATAGACTCCATATTCAGTGCTTTCCCGAATGGATCTGGAGTAGCCATCTTGAAAAAAAACCGACCATTTTGAAGGATTGTTTTGGTTTGGAGGAAACCCGCTACCCCAAACTTTTAGTCAGATAGATTTAGTGATTCTCTACGCGCGGATTATTTTATCCTCAATGTGTTCGCCAATTTTATCACAGTCGACGCCCGTACGACTCTTACAAACCTACGTTGAAGTTTACTAAGCCGTGCCGATCGAACATGGCATTGGACCTAGCGACTTTATTCCCGCTGAGGACAGACCAACACACCTGTTCAAGAAGAGTGTTTTGCGGATTTGCGAATTATATTTTCGAAATAAAATTCTCGTGTCGCCAAAAGTATTGAATATCATGATGAGTTCTCGGATCTGGCATCTAGAATTAAATCCCGCTTGGCGAGAATAGTCAAGTTGGGTAAGATGATCCAACCGCATGCCAGTCTGCATCGCGAAAACGAGGAAGTGAAGCTCATTGCGCTGCACGATACTACTAAGCGTGTAGTATCTGTCTGCGGTGCTTCCAATGGATGCTTTCAAATAATAGTGGCCAGAACGACTCTGCTGCTGTCTCTAATGGCCATGTTAAAGAAATTAGCGCAAGAGCAACCAATCGCCTTCTCGATGGCTATGTTACTCATTTTTTAGACACTCGATACGACTTCTGCACAATTCAATGGTGGCGTTACGCAATAGGGAAATATTGTACAGTTAGTTGGTTACCTGGATACGAAAAAGGACCACTGTGACGGTCTCGGAGCGATTAACTGCGCTTAAAAAGTTACTCAGAAGACCGCTTAGAAGTCCAGTGCAGCCACTCAGTGTTAATGGTGCTACCTGTTGTGTTGAGCTGGAACTTCTTAACAACAATTACGAGTCTATCGACTTAAAACGGCAGTGTACGCTCGCAAAGATCATGCGAGCATAAAAAGTATATTTTGCCAGAAACAAAACGGGTCTGCGGCAATGGCCGAATCATTTCCAGTCCTCTGTACTATCCAAACGTCGCTCCGGTATCGGGTTCCTTGAATACGCGCTTATATGCAAGCCTGTTGTCTGTTTGCGAGTTTCTACCAACAGCATCTTCAAACTGAGTGAAAGTGCCCGTGGCGACAGACTTGTCACCAGTGTTGACCCTAATGACAATCAATACAATGCCCGCCCACCGATGGATTCCAATGGCAATGTTTCTGCACAGCCTATCGAAGGGATGCTTGAATATTATTATAGCGAGCACAAGGAAATGCTACTACGATAATGCATGTATGGGGAGTCGCTTTCATCGCTCCATATCAACCTGTTGCAGTCACCATCACCCTCAGATACTCAACAGGGCCGTCTAGTTTCTCGCCTTCCGCCACACAACCACTAGCAGGCAGCATGACTCCGACTGTCATCCATCACTTTGAATCACGCCCGTGTTTCTTCGATAAAATGAGCATGTAGCGTTTATCTTAGTGCATAAGCTTGACAATTGCGACCCCACCCCTGTAACTTTGCCATTCTTCAAGCTATTAGTGCGAACCAGATCCGTAATTCTGCCCTACAGCATCTGTTGCTGATAGCGCTTACCTTGAGAGCACTGCACCCGATACTCGGCGCTGCTTATAAGATTGAACACTACTACGACATCGTGTACTACCGGCCGTCTTGCGTTGTCACAGCGGAAGTGATGGCGTTCAAGAGTTTGTTAGGATCTTTAAATACAAGTAGGACAGCACCCCTGCCAACACAAGCGGACGCCACAAATTCTCGTCTCCGTTGCATTGCGAACTTGCCTGCGCATAACGTCGAGCCCCTGTAGTTACTCAAGACTTTTGGTGTCAGGGATTCATCAGACATCAAGAAAGCAAAACACTGCGACAGTACCATGTGAGCCTAGTCTATGATACCTAATCGTAGATCCTACCTATCTCTAAGTACCTATCTATCACCGCTATGAAAAACAACATAGGTATCGTTTAATTTTTCATAGAACGTAAGGTTAACACAATAATTCCGAAACCTTTGCCTAGTATTACTCTGAGATTTTTTTTTGATTTGTCGAAAATAGGCATGCGAAAGAAGTGAACGACTTCTGTCGTCCGCATCCAGAAAATCATGCGGAAGCTTCTACTTGACGTGTCATTAAGCTGTCGCCGAGTCACATGAGAAATGGCGAATTATCTTTGATTGCTCTTTTACGACACTGGGCCTAATACCACTTCACTGACGCTTGCTGCAAGGGACGAACATAAGCACAAACTAGGTAAAATTGTAGTTGAATTAACGTTCTGATGCAGTACCTGTTTTGGCCGACATTACCAATGCGTATCTCATGGTCGACTTCTTGGACCCTGATCTGCCGCTACTTCATTTTCCTTGACAAGGCTTTAGTGACAAGGAAGCACTTTTATTTTTCCTATGGATCCCTTCTGGCAACCACTTTGCAGGCAATCTTTAAGAGAGTGGACTGCTTAGCTATGTACTGGCTTGGCGACTCTTACGCCATAATAACATAATATTACGATATTATGTTGCACGGTTCCGCGATGCAGGATTTGACCAGCCAACTTCATCGATAAGATAGTTAGCTGATTCAGGTCCGCTGGGATGTCACTTACAAAATGGGAAAACAAAAATTCTAGCAAAAATCTAGCACCTTCAAGGCTTCTGGATGCTATTGATCGACACATGTGCTATGGAAGACAGTATTAGCTCCAGGTGATATATACTGACCGGTTTTTGTGTCT